ATTTAAAGGTATTTAAGTTTACTTAAACTGTGAGATTGGAAGGAATAAAAAAACTGCAAAATGTAAATATATTATATCGATTAACAGTCGAGCAACATAAAATGCGAGAGGTTTGGCTTTAGCACCGCATTTGAGTGTCGCGACGTGAGCGAGTAACAAAGGAGCTAAACAGGCCATTAATAAGAGACCGGGCACTTCCGCCGCGTTCCCGGAACACCTACACCGAGACAAGACAGGAATAGCGGTGTATAATGTGCGTATACACTGCTGAAGGTGAATAGCGATTGATTCTACCTCTTACGTTTTAATCATCTAGCCGAATTTGTTCTGAATTTGGGAATAGTATTGACTGTATCTAATAGCTGTTTTACTAGGTATAGTTTCACATTTAAACAACAGGTTTTTAACTCAAAAGTGCCCTCTCAAAGATTTTGATTTTAATATATTATAACTCATAATTAATAATTTAATAGATTTTCGTTAATAATATTGGTAATCATATAAATAAAATTAATCGATTACTGATTACAACAACAGTTTCTCCAATTAAGAAGATATTTATCTACTCAAAGACTTCTCTCAACAATAGGTAAGCTAATATACAAACGAATCTGTAAGGTAAACATAAACGTACCTATCTGTAAAGGTTTTTTTTTCAATTAATATATGTTTAATTTCATGATAAAAAAGAAAATGTAACCAAATCGATGTTCCTCAAATTTTCACACGCTAGATATAAAATCGTTCGCACGATTTTCTAATCGATTTTTTGGTAATAAACGTGACTGAAGTACTCGCAACGTAAGATCTCAATATAGCTAAGTTCATTGTTGGTAATCAGTCGAATCGCTATCGATCCAAAGCGTATCGGTGCAGTCTACGCACCTGTCACGACGCGGACGGTAGATCACAACATTTGATCGGTGACGAATTGATTTCTTATTGATGACGGCTTCATTGGAATTTTGGACTACAACCTGACTAGATTCATCCTTTTTTTATAAATTGTATTTATAAATAAATGTAATTATAATTAGAATATTATCTCCAATATAATAAATCCATACTAAAATTATAAATGTGAAAGTGTGTTTGTTTGTTTGTCCTTCTTTAACATCGAAACGGAATGAAGGCTTGGCGTGATTTTTTGTATGGAGATAGTTGGCTGGAGAGCGACATAGGCTACTTACCGTGGCAGATTGTCTCATTCTCACGAGAAAACGCGTTATAAATTATAATACAACCCAAAAAATATTTGTGATCAGAATTACTTGAAACTTGGTATTAATGTTCTTCAATACAATTAAATAAATACGTGTTTAGCATTTTTCTAAATTCATCCCATAAGGGGGTAAAATAGGGCATGAATGTTTGTATGTAACCTACCTTTTTAGAGTTTTTTTTCGTAGTTTTAGCGCGAGCGAAGCCGCGTGTTCTGCTAGTCATATTATAAAATATAAATATATTCAAAATTATGGATTTTATAAAAGTAAACATATAATGAAGTTTATTTTTATAAACACAACCAATGTCATAAATAAAGAAATTAGGATTTGATATTGGGTAAAATAGGACAACAATATCAAATAGGCGTCCTTAACTAGCGCTTGTCCTTTATTTATTAACGTCCATGGTGATATATCACGACAGGCCACCGGGGCCGCTCGACACGCTCCCAAACTCTTTATTGAGACGTGCCAGCACAAAGCGAGTATGTTTGTGTAAGAATGATAAATAAAGAATCTGAATCTTTAAAAGTGGTTAAAGCCAAAATCAATTTACGTGAAAAACTTATTTATATTTGATAAGATAAAGTACAATTTCGTCTGTAGTCTTGATTAAATCAAACCGTCTAAGTAGTGAGTATTTGTGTAATTTTTCACGTAAGTGGGAGACGTGAGCAGCAGGAGGGCGCCGACAAAGTCCCCGGGGTGCAGCCACCGCTTCTATCCGAACGTGAGCCTCTGTCACATTATATAATACAGAAATATTCTAAAAATCTACAACGTAATAAAACTGGAGTAGTGCTTATCACTATATATTCGAAAGTTGGATAAATATTTAAAAAGTTATAAATGATTTATTTACAATCAATAAACAGCAAAAAGGGGTTGGTTTGTCAACATTGCCACCACCTACTAAAATAAATACCATTTTAAAACAACATGAATCAGTTCCAAGATAGCATGGTTTAATTGATGATGTACCTTACTAACATACCTATAGGTATAGCTACATAAGTACATATTATTTACTACTAGCGGCTCACCCTCGCTTCATTATCGCTCGTGTTCATCCCTAAGTACGTTTTAACGGTAAGTATGGAATAGTTAGACTATATATTATACATATATATGGTAGGTATGTAGACTATATATTATACATATATAGGGTACAAAATAAACAGTTCTGAACTTTTTGATTTTCCAGCTGTTTTTTGGGGTTTTCCCTATTTTTTGATACTTAAACCACCTCTTCACACCCCCAACAAAACAAAAAAAAAAAGAATTATTCAAATCAGTCCAGCCGTTTTTGATTTTTAGCGAGACTAACGAACGGCAATTGATTATTATATATATAAACAAAGATAAATATATTATTGACCATTTCTCTATTTTTGTATTTTATTTTTCTATTATTCAAAAGGGGAAAAAACGCTACCCTTTTAAGATCATTCATGTGTTTGATAGTCATTCTGAGTATCACACCCTATCATCTCCGATTTTACTGAACAGAAAAAGTTAAAAATCATAACATAAACATAGATACTGGTATATAGAATGATGTGACTATGATGAATGAATGATGAAAGAATTATAAAAATCGGCGCACGATTGGCGAAAACTTCGCATAATGTACATAAAAAAATTCCCCTGAAGTGGGTCCAAAAGATATTAAAGAAAATGTACGATATTTGCACTTCCCTCCATATATCTCCAAAACCTAAAAAAAAGTAATATTTGTACCTCAATGTATTTAACTTTCTTATACTTTTAACCCCCACACACATAAAGACTTTATATCGCTAAGTAAACAATAAAAGAGGTATTTGTATGGAGATATTAAACCATTTAGAGGTTAATGAACAGTTTGGTTTCATTGGTTACAATGAAATGAGACTATTAGTACTGACTTATGAAAGTGGTTGACTTGGTCCGGTTTAAGAAAAGGATTTTTATTTTTCCAATCGTATTTTTAAGTATGTTATTCGTTAGAGGTTTTTTATTAAGTTAAGAACCTTCTTAAAAATGCCAACAAGGACTTTATCAAATTTAAACACAATATGATGAAGAATGCCCGAATATACATACATATTATGTATGTATAAGGAGGAATAAACAAATATTAATTTCAAGAAATATGATGACATTTTGCATTGCAAACGCAATATATAAGAACAGTATATCACGTGCAACTTGTGGGTCAGGGCGGTGGCGGTGACCGCGTAGGCTCGCGTTTTGGCCACTCCGCCCACCCTCATCTATTGTCTACCCACATGCAGACATGCTGGCGTGATCTCACTCTATCGACTAACGATCTAATTAGCTACCAAAATATCATCATTATACAGCGATGACAGAATATAAACTTTCTTATAAAATACCTTATGAAATAACTTGCACCGACAGAAGATCGCGGTAAAATATAATGCTTGATACCAGCATAATACTTTTAACGGCATATTAGGTCCAAATTATAATAAAGGGAAATAAAGAAAACAATAAAGTATTAAGATATTTGCTGTGAAATTTGATTTATGAATGAACTTGTATTAAATTTTTGCTGAATAGTCTTGTCGGATTAAAATGCCGATGGGCCACACCGCGTTAGCATAAATCCTATACAAAATATCATTATTCACTTTGCGAATATGGTACAAAGACATCTATTTCTGTAGCGACTAATGTAAGGTAAACATCGCATTAGTGGTGAGGAACAATCGAACACTATGTCCGGTGGGGCTATGGCTTATGGTATATTTATGAAGCTTTCCCAGTAATGGCGGATTAGGAACAAGGTACATCTTGTGTGGTGCGGGGGCGGATACAGCTAAGTTCCGTTTGCGCTAAAAGCACTTAGGGACATGACACATTTGCTACGTCTTATCTTAGATTTACAACATTTACAAACTAATGAGATGTGTTTATCTTAATCGAGACCATTTTAGTTTTTTGAATGTTGTCCTAAGCTATTTAATTACTTGATGGGCCTTGGAAAATATAACTATACACTACACAAAGTGATTAAAGGCAGATATTTCTAGGCATCAATATAATAGAAACAATAAGGCACAGTATTGAACAAGAATGGATTCTACGTGGGCGTGAGAAAGGTGCTGCAATGCATCTCCGCTAATACGCTGCTCAAATACGCGTCTGGGCCGCCGTACCAGATCTTCGTATGCATGTACTGCCTATTAAAATAATTTAAAATAAACAGGGAAACATAATAATTGAAAATAACTTTATTTCATAACAATACTTGTAATACACGTTTATAGAATCAGTATCTGCTGTATGATAATAAAATTTTCTTGCCCAAAGCATTTTTTAATTAATAAACTATTTAAATAACCCTTCATATAAAGGTTTACATTCGTTCGTGAGAAAGAAAAGCATATGTGATGTGTGACCGCCTCCCATCACTGGCAGATCCTATCTACTCTCGCTACTCTCACGTCGCGCTAACTAATTGCTTTGTTCACCCGCCATAAAATTACACAACTCATGTTATATATATATATATGCAACTACAACAAAACAATGACCTAGAATATTTTAACATTTCGCTTTTTAGTTGCCGTTGATATTAAAAAAAATAATTTTATGTTTTGTTTGTTTCATTTATAAATCGCGTAACGATTTATTGAGGGATTATTACTTTGGGTTTGTTGTTTGATTGTCCGCGGTGAATCCACGCCGTTGCCGAACAAACGCTCGAGGCAGTATGACGAATCCAATTAACAGCACTAACGAATACTGTCGGATGTACACTATTTATGTTTCCTCGCAGTCGCACTGTAAATATTTAGTCCTGGATGCGTCTGGTGTAGCCCTTGTCTTATCTTTCCATCGCGCCTGTAAACGATTTGATGAGCCGCACGAGCTTTCAGCACCGGCGTACAGGATATACGTCTGTAAATAACGATTAGGAAATGGCATCTGATAGATTATTTTTTATTCACTCCCTCGAAACGATCCTCTTTGTTCGTATAAACTTGAATCTTCCTTACGTAGGCGCGTGTTCTGCTACAATGGAAATAGCTATTAAATAGTACATCAAAATCGGCACACTCAACCGGGTAAGCTACGGCATTAGACGTTAACGTGAGCTATGGCGTGAACGATCTTCGCGCGTGGGCATAGACAGGTGATGTCGGTCGATTATCTGCTAATTTATACGCGCCGCTTAACTTCTGTTTTCTTATATGATATTATTCGTTTCGATACACTCGTAAACGAGCTACGCTAAATATAGAGAACAGCATTCCATGGACGCCATCGACTCGGTTAACTGTTCGATTGTGTTATGCCTTTTTTCGAGTTAACTCATTTAAATGTCACTTGCTCGCTGAGATGGTGCGGGGCCTAGCGCTTATTTGGAGTGATGCTTACAGCCGTCACCGGGTGATGTCACCGGGCGCGCCACCATCATGAGGGGGCCTGTTTTGGAATCTTTACGAGCGACACCTCCACACTATATTCGCAACAGTTCATTCACCGGTACAATAATGTAGGCACTAGATAATATATACATATGTACATGTAAATTATATTTAAAGTTTTATATATTTATTAATAATCACCGCAGTAACATAGTCGCTTCCCGCTGTGTGTCTGTCTCTATGTATGCTTAGATCTTTAAAACTACGCAACGGATTTTGATGCGGTTTGTTTAATAGATAGAGTGATGCAAGATGAAGGTTTATATGCATAATACATGCATATTATGGTACAGGAAAGCTGAGAAATTCAAAGATTTGTATTTCATACTAACCATTAAAACGTACCTAGGGACGTACCTACTAGTAGTACCTAGTTTTAATACATAATATATTTATTTGATTTATACGTTATCAAATATTTTACTTATTCAGTGACTTTATGTAGCACTTCTTGTTATGTCAGTTAATTATTTTATATTATTTTTCATACTTACATTGTGTGAGCTACGAATATTGTATTCATTGTGACAATCGATGTCAAGGCTCTAAGCTAATTATTCAAACCGGAAATCAAAAGTAACGTGAGACCCTGAATATTTGGCAATGAGATCTTTAAAGCAAAGGACAATTATAATATCAAATGTGGAACTTGTTATTGTTATTCAGTTTAATTTAGACCATTTAATAACAATATAATTAACATAACAAATAAATTAATGTAATTAAATAGTATAAAATATGCATTACTTCTTCCAAATAATATTGACTAGTACATAGAATAAGAATTTCAATTAAAATATACCAATCTTGTTACCCCCATAGAGATACCGTAGTTCCCGTATATAGTCTAAAGTACTATAATTTAGCTTTCTTTCCATAAAATGTAAAGGTACAGGTGTGTGATCAACATCCGTGAAATTACTGTAAATTTACCGCGGTGTGGTCCGAGGAAAAAATCGTTATGATTACACGAATCATCAACCCCTGGCAACGATTCTCCATGGTGATCTCTGAGGTTATCATCATTTGTCCCACGAGGCACACTGAGGGTAGTATGACCTACTTTAATATCTCAAATATATCTTTAAGTTTATTCTATCTATTTTCAAGAAATGCAATAATTAATAATGTCATGAAATAAAAAAATGGGATACTTGTACAATATATGTATTGTTTACACGTGACAATTACCTATAGGTAAGTGATACCGAAAAATGAATTCTTAAGAATATTAGAAAAGTGTTAGATAAAAATGTGTTATCGATAAATAATTATAATTAAAGAGTCAGTAAAAATAGAAAAACTTAAGAGGCCTCCTTACTTCTGTGACACTTAGTAAAGATATGATGAACATGTTAGCTTTTGTTTGAATATACTATTTTTTTTCTGTTGTCATTTAAATAAATCAAGCGTATTCAGTAGGTACTTTTGTTTCAAAATGTCATTAAAACTGATAATGGATCGAAGCGGGCGTCGAGAACGTAGCAAAGGTCCGGCCGGGCGCCAAGATCGCAACGATATCGTCGATAGAACAGTAATCGTCAATAAAATCTCAATTTAGATGGCACCGATATCAGGTGAGTTACGGACGGACAGTCCGAAAGAACACGAAAACCTACTTGACGGAGGAATGCGTCTCGCGACAGGACCACTAACGAATTAGGTACTCCAAATTGGGCGTTACATTAATTTTATTTTTAATTTACGATTTTATAAGATAAACATCGCATCTAAAACTGATGGTTTTGGCTGGTTTACCTACACAATATTTTTAAGTATAATTTTCGCATCGGAAACCTACTTCAAAGCTAATACCGCACGTATTAATTACAATTTGACACCTCATCGACAGCAGCACGCTTAGCATATTAAATTAAACTTTAGAAAACCCCTTTGTCTTTTTGTCACCACCAAGATAAGGACGTCTAAGTGGACATTTAAAAATAAATTTGTCGAATGTGATAAATGATGAATATAACTTTTATTATTTCAAATTAAATTAACGATCCAAACCGAACGTCTACCTTTTCTCACATTAGAGGTATCTTATCTGAAATGATTGCTTCCATTACCTCAGAGAACAGACACGTTGTTTTGTAGGAGAGGGGAGATAAAGAGATTAATGCGTATAGCAATTAATTTTGATTGAGGTGTGTTTTATTAAGTAATTGTTTTTGTTCCCGATGTGAATTCGAAACGCGTCTGAACTTCTAACATGTGTACAAATTATATTGCGTAGCATCATGATGGAAATTAAGAATTATATGTTTGTTATCAAATTTGCTTTAGTTGAATTTAATAAAAGTAAACCTTATTATGGTACATAATTTTCAACTAATCATGTTTTCTTAGCGTAAACATAATATATGGGAAAAAAGATCACAAAACAAACCCTAATTAGATTGTAAAGATATGAGGCAATTTCTTTAGATAAACTTCGTCAAAAGGAATAATATAAAATTATGAGTATTCTAAAGTGTTTGGCGTTTGGCTCGTTCCCACAGCGAGCTTTAATACATTTTCCATGTTCCAGTTAGCGCCCCATAAATTGATTAAGGGTCTGCGGCGGCGCTCAAAAGTTTTTTGTGCTATGAGACAGGTATACTAAGCTCTACTATGCCCAACCCAATGTTCAAGCACACATGTAAAACTTAAGTAACCGACAATATAAAATATTTACACTTAACTGTGGACATTTTGCAGCTAAATCGCTATAATGGAGTGAACTAATTTCCTGACAGGAAATTGCTTTTCTTGACGAGTGCGTACAATTTCCCTAAGAGCCACACTCTACGTCACCATTTTAACATCAATCAACTATTTGTAAATAAAGGCAAACAAACTTTCGCCTAATGTTTCGTTTAAGATTCAAACACGTTATTTCTAACTCTATTAAAAATGTTAAATTCGTATCCACTAAGATTACTGCGATCAATGTACCTATATCATATTGTCCGATTTTTTTGGGAGACCACCTCTAATAATAATAATATATAGTGGTCTGCAACACAAAGAGATTTGGCATATGAAATATCGAGATGAGTTCAGACAGAAATTTAGCCGAGAAGTTTTGGTAAATTCGAACAAAAAAGAGGAGGTGACAATATAAATAACAATTTGGCCCACCCCGTTCGAATGTGGATCGGTGGATTAGCATAAGAATGCCGCATCACGGACGCCCACAAGCTCCACTGTCCCTCGTTGTCTCTTTGTACGTCGAATTTAATTTTGATTTACGATTATCTATATAATTGTGCGAAATATTTTTTGATGTGACTAAGATATTATATCAAGAATTTGGCTGTAGATGTCGTCTACGGGGATCTTAATAATATGATTTTATTTAAGGTGCCTTAACACTATAAACGTTACCCGCGATAATGTTAACCGTTTTATGTCAACTTAAAGATTTAATTTTATTGTTAATATAAAAACATACGGTCCCTTTTTTGTTGAGTTGGTTTATTTATATATTTATTATTTAGTAAGTTATTTGAACTATTTATTTTTTGATTGGTATAAAATTATAAATACATAATAGAATTTAGACCAGCTTATACAAACCACAATTTTACAGTATTTTTCCCAAGTTTTGAAAATTGTATTTGCTTCAAAAATGTGTTATTTACAATATTATCTTAATAATAAATATATATTTTTTTTAATTTTCAGTTTCAACAATTTAGGAGAAAAAGATCGAAATAATAAAGGAAAAAGTGAAGGTAAATGTCAATAAGGGTTATAAGACTTATAATAAGACCTGCGAATACTCATAGCATTCTAAAATTATTACTACACAGTTACATACATATAAGAACAAAAATCATAAATTATGTTCTCCAAGGCCTTTCGATCGAAGAATTTTTAAACTATAAATATGTCATATTCGTAAAAATAGACAAAAATCATTCTACGTAAATTAATTACAATATTATATTAACGAAATTTTAATGTACAGTAGTGCAGTGACCATAATTTACGGGAAACTTTTGGCAGACATAATTAAGCGCTCCTTAAGATTCCTTTATGCAAATATTGTTGGAAATGTTCTTCATATAATTAATTGAGGGTAACCTTGCGTTTGACATTATAATGATGCATACATCTTAATCGGAGCGTCTAATTATCTTAAAACGCCACCTAAATTAAATTTAAAACCTTTTATCTGATCAACGTGACATGTTTAATTTTATGATCATGATCCGATTTATATATTTACTTATAAAAGCCATTATCAATTAGATACTCATTTTTTAGAGTTCATCATTTTTTTATCCATCTGGCCATAATATTCATAACCATAATATAATATATATTTTGTTGTTATAATGAAACTTAAATTAATAATTATTGTGCCCATATAATATTTTTTCACTTTTGAGTGTGTATTTCAAATAATATAATTTGATATATTAATAGTGCCTTAGATATAGCCCTTTAGTTATAATTGAATTCCTTTTTATTATTATATTGTGATAAGATATATAAATCGTTAAATGACAGGTAGGCAATGATCAAATAAAATAAATAATGAATGTGTTCAGCAGTGTTAATATGCATTTATGATAGTGTCTTTTTCTATTTATAAAAAATAAATCGAATCGATCCTTGTAGTATTTCAAGGCACGACAGTAAAAACTTGATAAAGACACAGACCCTTACCGAGAGCATTTTATTTTCGAAGCTTTTCGTTTATAACAACTTTTCCGAAGGAATATTAGCAGGTCAGTGGAAATATTTCATTTTGAGGAGAGTAAGTTTAAAGTTACCTACTTATTAATTGTGTTATTTTCCTACATATTAAATAAATAGCATTTATCAAGAATATTGTTACAATATTACTCACCACATTAACAAATTCTTGAAATGTAATAGCTGGACTTTTCGCACTGTGAGCTTTATCCAAAAGTATCTGTGGAATTAAAATGTATTTTTATATTTTTAAGTTAGAAAATTACAATTCCACATTAATAATGCTTATATTATACTTTATCTTCCAATATATATGAATTGTAATAGTCCTGATTGGTTAATTAATAATCAGACTAAATCGATAGACCTGTACGGCTAAAATTTTGTCTTTTGCCATTCGGGTTATTCCTACATTGACAAAGAATACCTCTCTTTGGACTTTTTTCCTTTAAATTGTAAAAAGGCAAAGTTTGTATAAAAAATTATATTTTTCTTGGTTTTGACTTAAAACTTTGTAATAAAAAAAAATGAATTAAACACGTGTAGAATTTCAAAATTCAGCCCAATAAAAAACGATACGTTTAGTTTCGGGAAGTGACGTATTTGAATACATGTGTGACATACATACATACATATATACAACACTTCTATATTTTTATTGTTTTATTTAGGTAAATTCTATCCGCACTGACTCAAACGATGTTGCATGTCTATTACATTATGGACTTTTATTATATATAGGTGATGATGATGATGATGTTCTCCTAGCCGATTCCGGCTACGGCGGCCAATCTCATTGAGACTAGCCAACTGCGCAGGAGATATTATAGTGCACAAGTGCACTCTCTATTCCTGTCACTCTCATACTCTGGTGGGACGACTGCTCGACACGACCAGTGAGAGTTAAGGCGCAGGACCGACGGCTTTACGTGCTCTCCGAGGGACGGAGGTGAAACACCACCAACTTCCCAACTCCGGGCTGTTACTGAGACTTACTATACAGAAAGACTCAATAACTAAACTTGGCCCGACCCGGGACTTGAACCCAGGAACTCCGAGTGTGCAACCGTACATGCTAGCCATTACACCACCGAGGCAGTTATATATAGGTACATCTCTATCGATGCTACCAAACTTGACATAGCCGCTTATTAATTATTGTACAACTTTTCCGTAAATAATATATTATAAATTGTATTTAAAAAAACTACTTGTATAAAAAGTTAAGTTGTAAAAGGAATAAAAAACATTAAGACTAATAATAATTTAAACTAAATAAATAATTGCTTAAGCATTTTACAAATTTTACATAAACTATTAACTTATTCTCACCTCACGTTTGTGGGGCGGCACCTGCGCTATAAAATCTGGATGATGAAGAGTCTGTAGGAAGTCTGGCCATGGAATCTCGCCAAAGCCTTCGGGATCGAACTGTAGATAACAAAACACACAATTAATTGTTAATATAATATTCACACCTTCAACTCACGATTCGGTCACGTACCTACGAAACCATAAAATTTAGTTTTCAACAGAGCATCTGAAACGTCATAATCACCAACCGTTCTGGGACTTCGTATTATTATGTGTATGATATAGTTGTAATAATTTTGTTCATTTCCAAAAAGAAGAGAACAAAAAGTTTAAAGGACCCTATCAGTGCAGCAGTATTATCTCAATGTTTCCTACGTGACAAGACATCGTTTGATCTGCGGCGCTACCGCCACTGTTTATCTGTTTATAATTTTTTTTGTATCCCGCTTCTGTACATTTTAATCAAGCAAAAGGTAAAAAAACTAAAAACTTTCTCCGAATTCGTTTTTACATAATAAACAATAAAGCTTATGAAATACGCGATGCGCGTTTATGCACACAATAATTTATACGACTGTGACTCAATAACTGGTGTCTGGTGGCATCTTTCTCTCTATGGGTCATAGGTGATAGGTTTGATTTTTATGCGGGGTATGCTATATAAAGCATACTGATTTGTTTACTTTATGATTAATTGAGTTATATGTATATATGCCTATGTATATGTGCCAAATTATTTATGAACCTACAACACTATAAAAAATTATACTGGCCCCTACTATTCATTCTAAACTCTTGATATAAAATTCTTAAGACTATAATAAGCCTTTGTAATCTTATGAAATAATTCAGTTTTACTTTCGATACTAACATAAACATGATTACTTTTGGATTGATTTTAATTATTTATCCACCTTAAAATTATACGACATTGTTTAATTAGGCAAATATTTAATTATGTCTAATATACAACAATATCGATATATATATATATATATATATATATATATATATATATATATATATATATATATATATATATATATATACTAGCGGACCCGACAGACGTTGTCCTGTCTACACGTCTTTAATTTGAAAATTTCAAACTTTTTTTAATAATTTTTTTGATGAAAATTATTATTCAAATTGTGAATCTAAACCATTCCCAGATCCCCTTGAACACACACAAAAAATTTCATCAAAATTGGTCCAGTCGTTTAGGAGGAGTTCAGTCACATACACACGCACACAAGAAATATATATATTAAGATATATATATCGATATTATTTTTCATCATGGTCTAAATTTGACAGTATGATATCATAGCAAAGTTATTTAATTGAATTAACATATACGAATACATATGATGATATTATGGGCATAATATGAAATCTGTGGCTCGTAATTGCGTGAAGGAAGGTTCCGTACATTATAACTACATAGTATAAAACATAGTTGCTTCCCGCTGTCTGTCTGTCTCTATGTATGCTTAGATCTTTAAAACTACGCCACAGATTTTGATGCGGTTTTTTTAATAAATAGAGTGATTCAAAAGGAAGGTTTATATGTATAATACATTCATATTATAGTACAGAAAAGCCGAGAAATTCAAAGATTTCTATTTCATACTAACCGTTAAAACGTACCAAGCTAGTTTTAACGTTATGGGACTTACTAATTTAATGACTTTGTTATATTTCTCCAATACGTGTGAGTTAAAGTCTTATATTCTTTATTATTTTGGTTTTTAAACTAACTTTCAGAGATAATGTCCAAATTATCTGTGCAAATTGGAATTAAAAATACAGAAAAAAGAACTCATTTAATATGTACGCGCGAGGCTCTTGATAAACCTTTATTTAAAATTTATAGTATAATCCCCAAAATTTTTAATTTATTTATGCAAAACGTCCATCATTGGGTCAATCTATATAATATGTATAATGTATATATCTACCAAATATTAACTTTTATTATATACTGGAGTAGTGAGTATATTACCTACACACGAAAGAATGATGCAGATCTGTATACAAATAAGCAAATGCTATAACTATACGGTTTTATTTCGAGATATAGAACTCTAAAAATCATTAAGACATTGTGTAAGGTTACATATTTCATCTTTACCTATATATACTTAAATCATAGTCATTGTTCAGTCACATATATGTCACTATTATGAACAGGTAGAATTTGTGTGTTTGTATCTAATCAATTCAGCGGATAATGTTTAAAACTACTAAACATAATCGAGAAGTCATAGACCACGCCTACGCTTCCCGAGATCGAAAACTTCAAAGTAGCTAAGCATATTTTAAACGAAGTAATTAATATCCGTGTTGCTACAACTGGAGTAAAGTTAATATTTTTTTGTGTCTTACCCTATCAAACAGGAGACGCCATTTCTGAAACAACAGAATATAGACTAAAATTTTTATGAAAACTTCATGATTAAAGTTTAAACCAAGCAAACAAATAAAGAGTACGATGTACTTAATGAAATTTGAATAAAATAAATAATAGACATGTATTCATATTTAGACTAAGGAAAATATTCAGGTTTTGAAAAGAAGTAAATAATGAATTATTACGGATTAAAATTGTGATGAATTTATCGTATAAATAAAGAATTTCTGAAAATAATTCATCCTTATATTTCTATTATAAATTATAAATATTATTTAAGTTTTATGTGAGCGTAAAATTAAAACTTAACTATTAATTCTACATATTTCAATATATTTAGACACACACAGATTGATTTAAAAAAAACGTTAGTGTATTACGTACATCGTGCATCAACTCTCTTCGAATTTCCGCCTCGTCCAACTCCGAACCGAGATCTGTATGGTCTGTATCATAGAGGGGTTCCGCCGCTCTAGAGAGCGATCCCAAGGAATCTCGCGCCGATGCGAGCGATCCCGTGACAGTCGGGAGCACCCCGGCCTCGATCCCGGACTCCATGGAGGTGTTTGCTGAAAGGACAGTGGCAACGGGCGGCGCTCGAACGTCGCCGCCGCCACTGCCCACCCACACGGACATCTTGCTGACAACACCATTCACACGGCACTTCGTGTTATATAATTAATTTATTGGTCAATCATTATTATTATTTGGCACATCATTTTTTAACTAATCATATTGGAAAGGTAATACCAAAATGGATATCGAAACTTTGGACAGATATGGACCGAAACTTTTCTGTACGTAATGGACAGTTCATTTGGACATTTTCTTCACATTACATAGGATTGATGAAAATAGACAAAATGATATAAGGCACGTAATTCGATAAAGCTCTAATCAGTGACTGGAACGCCTGAAACAAAAAGAAATATAAATGACGAGCTTAACCTTTAAGTCTGCCTTAAAGTGTATGTCCCTAATGTCGAATTCTTTAAGGTTTTTCCTAAGTTTATGTTTGTTGATATCTATTTAGCGATTTATTAATAACGATTGAATCTAATATATATAGGTATAATGAGATTTTAAAAGGAATTCTTTGCTGATTATAAGCAAGTTTGACTATAAAGTAAAATTGCAGCATAGGCAAATTAAAAACTACCTATGTGAACCTAAATTGCCTTTTTATACAAAAAAATAAAAATAAAAAAAGGGGTTGCACTCCATACATATAACTAAGGGATAAAAAAAAATTGTGTGTCCCTTAAGCGTGTGGGGTGTACTGGATAGGTCCTCATTAAAGTAAATATTGATGTTTTTAGGACAGCTTTTCATTTGAGCTAAAAGATGCTGAGTTTTATATTCCTATAATCGTAAATATTGTAATTCGGTGTTATTTCAAATGATATAATTTTATTGATGTAATCTTCTATACATATAAAAATCAATTGCCGTTCGTTAATCTCGCAGGTTACATCTCAAAAACGGCTGGACCGTTTTGAATAATTCTTTTTTTGTTTTGTTAGGGGTGTATTAGAGGTGGCCCGTGGCTTAAGTTAAAAAATAGGAAAACCCCAAAAAAAAACAGCTGGAAAATCAAATGAAAAGTTCAGAACTGTTTATTTTGTATTCTACTCTACTAACTGTTTATTTTAAGTATAGTTTCATGTTCCGGGTCGGTCCATGTACCTATATTTATTGGGATTTTCTGTTATGAAATTCTCAATAGTAGCTTAGAGTTGAGAAGTTGGCGGTTTTAGACCTGAATCACAAACATAAAGAAATATATGAAGGTTCTTTATAGAGAGTAAGCATCGATTTAACAAAATTCAACCCCTAAAATGGTATAAAGTGGTTTCCAATAATTTTGATACTTATATCCTGAAGAGTTTACGAATGAATAAGAACTCTATAGCTTATTTATTGAGGAAGGTTAGAGGATATCAAATCAGGTTACGCCTTTTAGGAGTGAAGCAATTAGATTTATGTAAATACCCAGATAAAATACTCGAGTGAAACTACGGGCAAACGATAGTAGTAAATAAAATAAATCAGTTCTACTGAACTGTGAAGAAGAACTTTGTTTACACACATACTTGTGCACTATAATATCTCATCACTGTTGACAACTGAGTCGTCACTAGTCGTAGCCGGTCGGGACTCACCAGGACATTATTTGTAGATAAACTGGATAGTTCTGGATGATGGTAGAAGTATAAAATGTAAACGTTTTAATTTTATAACACTGCCTACTCATTATCCTCGCTCTCTAACTTAACTACAGCCCACACGTCTTTAGTAGCTTTTATTTTATAAACTAATCTTTTAAATAAATGTTACGTTAATATATGTACGTATAGGACATATGTTATTTTTATCTAAAAAACTTTGACACCCAAAATTGCCCGACCAACGAACAATATTAAAAAATAACAAATGTATAGTCCATTCAACCCCTTGTGTTTTATTCTTAAATATCTTCATATACAGGTATAACATCTTATTAAAAACTGTTATACAGTAATATATATAAGCAGATTAAAATATTTCTGTTGGACGCGTGACTTGATTTGAATAAGGGTGATGTGTTGGAGTGCAACAACTATAGAGGAATATAGCTAATGTCAAAAAGTATGAAAGTTTAGGAAAAAGTGATTGAGAGAAGACTAAGAGAAGAGAGTGAAATTTCACAAAACCAGTTCGGATTCATGCCCAGTTGCGTAACGTAACAACTGATGCCATATTCGTAATCCACCAGTTAGGCGAAAAGTACAAAAGTACACATAAGAACTTGCACATAGTCTTTATTGGCCTGGGGAAGGCGTACGACCGAGTAAGCCGTGAGGTTTTGTGGTGGGCCCTTAGAAAGAAAGGTGTGTCTAAAAAGTATTTAGAGTTGATCATAGCGATGTACAGTCAATGCAGTACTCAAGTCCGGTCCACAACTGGCAGTTGGCACCACTGCTAGCTTCAATGTAGCTGTAGGTTTGCAACATGGGTCTGCTCGCAGCCCATACCTATTCCTGGTGGTATTGGACGCTTTAACGACAGACATACAGGATAAGGCCTTCTGGTGCATACTATTCGCCGAATTTCGTATGAATTAGTACGGCAAAAATAATAAGTTACGTATTTCAGCGTTTTCCAAAATTCAACCCCTAAAAGGGTAAATAGGGGATGAACGTCTGTATGAAACCTACGTTTTTAGACATTTTATTTGTTGTTTTAGCGCGAGCGAGGTCGCGGGTTCTGCTAGTCTACAATAAATAAATTCATCTCCGTACCGTAACGACAAACTAACTTGAATAAATCTATACTTATTATAAAAATAAGTCCCCCGGCCGCGTCTTTCTGTCCTCCTGTCTGTCCTCCTGTCTGTCCTCCTGTCTGTCTGTACGCGATAAACTCGAAAACTACTGAACGGATTTTTATACGGTTTTCAACAATAGAAAGAGTAATTCTTGAGGAAGGTTTAGGTATATAATTTATTATGCTTTTATGTAAATTAGCTGAAATACGGCGACAAATGTTGAAGAGGTCGCAAAAAATCTCGCGAAATGGGAACTTTCCACGCGAACGCCGCGTAAACTAGCAAAGATACAGTTAAGTAATGTACTAGAGAATTCAAAATCTATAAAAATGCTACAAAAAAGTCCGCGATAGCATATCTCTATCTCTTACGGTTGACTTACAATAACCACTTTTATGTTAACATTTTTAATTAAAAACATTACGTTATTTTCAAAGTTATTTTCTTTAGTTCGGTATTAATCCTTATCCAAATGAATATTTTAGTTAGCTTAGTCATTTAATGCAGATTAAAATTGCTCTTTACACTAAATCAATCAGATGAATAGTTTTTGAGATATCGTTGTTAGAAGTAATTAGTAGCGAAACATTTTTAATGCTTGGCGAGCATTGAGATGCCTACGGCGAGTCCATCCCCTCTGCCCCGCATCGCTCGACCGCCTGCTCAAGCTATATAAACCGGGCGATGTAGCGCGCGATCCTAGGATACTTTTTACCGCGGGAAAATATCTTATTTCTGAGGAAAAATACAAAAACTGCAATGTAAGAGTATACTAATATGTAACACCTAAGAATTTAGTTTTTAGTCATCTGAACGCGGGCGGAGCCGCGGGCAATGCTAGTATACGTATAAAAATAGCTTGCTTATCCGATAATGTATGATCTATTGCCCCTATAAAAAATTAAAAAAAAAAGACCCAAGTCTCATACAATCTTGTATCTACGGCACAAGAAAGGAAAGAAAAAAAATATTTAAAATAAAGTAGGTGTTAGGTAGCTTTTCGATAAAAGTATAAATTGAAAAAGATTACCCAATATATAAAAAAATAAGTAAGAGTAAATAAGGCAAATAAACCAATTGCGCAAAACAAAGTACCTACACCATAGTATAATATATAGTAAGGCAATAAGAGGAAAGCGCATCAACCCAGAGGGCTAGAGCCCTTATCGTTGCTATGGAAACGTCGCAGTTTCATTCATCGTGCAACACCCCCTTGTTATAGCACGTGCAAAATCAAGATAGTTTACGTGACTACTTAACTGAGACTAGAATAAAATTTTATTTTTTGCAGCATCCTAATCTCATGATTCTCAGCTCAAATAAAAGTCAAAGGTATATATTTAAAATGCCAACTACCGACCACCCAGTCGTAGGTTTACGGTTGATTGCCCATTTTAATTCAAATTAAGCAAGGTGACCCTCGCTAAAACGTACTCATTTAAAAATATTGAAATATATATTTTCACAAACAAATTATTAGTTCACTTATTTTAATCAATATTATAATAAAAGTAGAATTAAGATTTTGTTTACATACATTTGTAAATATTTAAAACAATTATGAGAAACCTAATTCAACAAATTAATGACTTACCTTTATTGTTATTGTTCACTCACTATCATAAGGAAAATTTCACACTGTGTTGCATTTCCAAAATTTTATGATTTAGCATTTCGTGACAAGATCCCATTAGGTTTAGGATTGCGGACATTAAGTATACGTCAAAACATGTCGAGTTACATTGAAAGTGAGAATGGCGTCTAGATTTTTGCGCATGCGTATTTAAAATTTCATCCCTCGGGTGCAATGGAATATTTAATAGTTTGGCAGGAAAATCAGAGAGCACAAGGAAGCCGATGAAATACATATATTTATATTACATACTAGGAGAGCCCGCGGTTTCGCTCGCGGTAAAATACAAAATATCTCTAGAAAACTAGTACCTAAAGGTGGTACCTAGATTTCATACAAACTTTCATCCCCTATTTTACCCCCTTATAGGATGAATTTCGAAAAATCCTAAAGCACGTATTTATTTATTTGTATTGAAAAGCAATAATACCAAGTTTAAAGTAATTCTGATCAGAATTTAATTTTTGGATTGTAAATATTATAACGTGTTTTCCCGTGGGAATGAGATGATCTCCCGCGAAAAACTAACGTATGTCACTCTCCAGCTCTCCAACTATCTTCACATCAAAAATTACGCCAATCCGTCACTCTGTTTCGACGTGAAAGAAAGACAAACAAACACACAAACAAATAACACACTTTCACATTTATAATATTAGTAAGTATGTATATCGATATGGATATGAACTTTCTATACTTAATATGTAACTTAAATGTTAAATCTAGTTACTTTAGCGCCTGAACAAGTTTATTGGCAATGTTGTTTATATGAAATAAAAAAAACACATTAGTACTCTCATAAATGTAAATATGTATAAGGCAAATATTTATTCAAAAAAATTGTGGTAAGTGAATGTCTGGAATAGGAATTTGAAAAAAAATGAATTTGTTGTTAATCCGTTTTGCATGATTATGCATCCCGTATAGCCATAGGTCTATCTATAGCGTCCCCCATGCATCCCTTGACAGTGGCTGAGCTGATTTCAATAAAGTATTTTATACAAGTGAAGCCTGAATTAAAAATAAAACAGATAATTCATCACAATCAGCCCAACAAAGAAACAGTTTCTCTTTTTCATGTAATCTATCTATCTATCCATACATATAATAAATTATAACCTAGTCGAATCTGTACATTAAATATTTTTTAGAAATACATTTTGAAATATTCATTATTATCGATACAAAAGCCGAATCTCAGATAACAAACACGAAGAAAGAAAAGAAAATAGACAAAAATTCTAAAAACTATTTTTTTTAATTTTTGTCTGTCTGTCTGGGAACGCATTACGAGAAAACCACTAGACAGATTTTGATGAGGTATTATGACAACCGGTAATATCCGGGTCAACATATAAGATACTTTTTACTACGGGAAAATATCTCATTTTATGAGAAATCTATAATAACCGTACCCAGTTATGAACCCGAGCGGAGCAAGGGTGAGTCCCTAGTCTATACATATAGTAAAATTCTAACTGAGTCAAATCTGTACAATAAATATTTTTTGGAAAATCTTATTGAAATAGACATTATTATCGATACAGAGGCCGATGCTATAGTTTTAGATTTTTTGTCTGTCTGTCTGTCTGTCTGTTATCACAGAAAAACTACTAGAGGGATTTTGATGAATTTTGCTATAGTGATAGCTGGTTATCCGGGTCAACATATAGAATACTTTTTACCGCGGGAAAATATCTCATTTCTGAGAAAAAATACAAAAAGTATAATGAAAGAGTATGCTGCTAATATGTAAAACCTAAGAATTTGGTTTTTGGTCATCAGAACGCGGGCGGAGCCGCGGGCAATGCTAGTTAGATATAAATACGAACACGGGCCGAATCACACAAAGTGGCTAGAGCCTAGAATAATAATATTATTATTTGTAATATTTGAATATAACTACAAAATATGTGTAATATTCAAATAGTAAAAAGTTAAAATATGTGGGAAGTATACTATTTTATATTATATAATACATTTGTAAAAAAATACTTTAAAATATTATTTATACTCTACAGACTATAGTTCCAATTTTTATTAATAATCTGTCATGCCGTAGGAGAGAAAATAAGTAAATAAATATTGTTGTTATTCTGTCAACTGTCACATTTATGGAACTTTCAAATTGAATTTTAAGATTTGTGCAAATTTATGGAAGTGTGACGTATTTTATTACATGCAATTATTATTATGCCTACAGGCCGTGCCGTTTTGTTATTACGCCGTTTGTCGACAGGTGATAATAGATTCAAGAACATAAATTTAAATCAAAGTACTTCAAAAGATTCTTTGCTTTCACACCCGGTATGCATACATCGGGATTTAATCTATAACAGAAGGTAAGATATTTTAGATGAAGTCACTTCGTTATGTAATACTTATTTCAGTAATTCACAGCACCGTCAACAAATTTAAGGTTACGTATTATTTTATACATAACAACTATAGAAACATCGCCGTGACCTTGTTATTATAAGCGCTTCGTTCATATATTTATGCAATGTACTAGTAGTACCATATTTGAAGTAAATAAAGGCTATAATTACTCTAAGCGTAATACATTCACATTCTGCCATATTCTATAATAATACGCACTATTCTACGAAAACTAATAAAATACACAAGTTTTAATATTGATGTGTGATTAGCTTGCATTAACAATCTTCTTTTGTTTTTTATAAAACTTTAGTATATCCTCTAAAGGACTTAATAAATATTAATAATAAAGATAACAGCTTAGATGACCATTTTGAAGAGTTACTTGACCGCAATGCTGTTACAGCTGATTGTTATGTTCCATTGAGAAACTTTGCTTTTTTTGTTTAAAAAGCTTAATATATGATCAATTCAAAGCAGAATTTTTTTAAATTTAAAACAGTGCAATATCAAAGCTTATGTTTTTTGAATTAATTAAATAGTAACATTTTTCAATAGAAGAAGATTTTATTAAACTTTTTTGTGTTAAAGATATCTTCTTCGATTCTTTTTATGTCATAAATGAATAAAATTAAGAAGATTTAATTTTACAAAAAAACATCAAATATTTGAATGGAATAGTTCCATTTCTAAAGTGAAAAAATATTAATAAATTTATTATTATCACTAACAACTCGCCCTTGCTTCGCTGGGGTTTGTTCCTAGATAATTCTTTATATAGTAGTCGTCCGAGCGTCGAGTAATAGACACATATATTTCTGTTCTTAAAGTTATTAATTCGTTTCAAGCAAAATTCTTAGTTATTAAGCAATAATTTTTCTATTACTATGTTTAGTTGTTGTGAAGTAAACAATGTGTGAAATCCTAGTTCAATCAGTGTTCTCTGTGTGAAGATATTTAGCAAAAACTTTAAAAAAATATGTGATAAACTGTCGTTGTTAACCTTGTTTAATAATCGGAGCGCGCGAGTGCTAATGAGCTTCGTATATAAAAAACACTAGTTCGTTGACCTCCATTGATGCAAATCTTTGCTAGTGTAATATTACTTACTAATTCGCCATCTCAAGATACATAGACTGTGGCGCAGCCGTAGAGTACGTGACAACACGCTAGCACACGTTGAGGGTTCAAATCCAAACTCTGCCAAGACATTTTTCTTTTTATTTTTGCACACAATTTTTATAAATTACATCATGGCAAATTTTGATTGTGCTGGATGCCCTAACGCACTAGATAACACCATGTCATTGCAATGTCGCCGATGCAATGATAAATATCATGTTGCGTGCACGCGAATTACAATGCAAGACTTTAGTGTGATGAGCTCGGAAATGAAAAGTTCATGGATATGTGACGTATGCAGATGTAAACAACCGAGAGGAGATCACTCCAACACACCAGTTCGTAACTCACCAATGGAAATGGACTTCGTAACTCAGCGTGTAAAAAGTCGTTCTACTTGCTCCTGTTTATCGGCTAACAATGTAAGAGAAATAATCAGAGAGGAATTACGCAATATTTTCAGTAATGATTTACACCCTAAAATTCAGGAAATAAAACATACTCTTGCCTCATTTGAAACCTCCTTGTCGTCATTAAGCCAGGATATAGATAAAGTTAAAACTGAACATGCAAATCAATCAGCACAAATGCAACAGATTATCAAGGAGAACGAAACTCTGCGAGCAGCTAACCAGACTATCATAACTCGTCTTACACAACTTGAACAGCAGACACGTGCTTCAAATATCGAAATCCAATGTGTTCCAGAAAACAGACAAGAGAATTTGGTCAACACGGTACAACAACTTGGCAAAATTATACAATGCCCGATAGCCCCAGAAAATATTCATTTCTGTGCAAGATTAGCGAAGATGAATACTAAAAGTCCTCGACCAAGATCGATATTAGTAAAGTTCAGTAGTCCTAGACTTCGTGATGAATTTTTAGCAGCTACTATTAAATATAATAAAAAAAATAGTACCGATAAACTTAGCACTAGTCATTTGGGAATCGCAAGCGCCAAGAATACTCCAATATACGTTGTGGAAAATCTTACACCAGAAGGAAAAATTCTACATGCTGCAGCTCGCCTTAAAGCAAAAGAGCTCGGCTACCGTTTCGTTTGGGTTCGTGATGGAAAAATATTTGTCAGAAAATCTGAAGGTTCAAACTACATCCATATACGAAATCATGATACTGTGAAAAATTTGTCATAGAGAGGCGCTAAATTTGTATACTTTTTTTTACTAAAAGGCACTTTACAGAATAATATTTCAATTTACTACCAAAACGTTAGGGGTCTCAGATCAAAAACAATTGATCTATTTAATAACATAGTTTGTAATTCATACGATATTGTAATTATGACGGAAACGTGGTTAAATGCGAGTGTTTTCGATTCTGAAATCTTTGATGATCGTTACATTGTATACAGACGCGATCGGGAGAGTAGTGGGTTTCATGCTTCAAAGAATGGTGGCGGTGTACTTATAGCCGTATCTAAGCAATTAAATTCTGAGCGGCTCTTTAATTTCGAGTCCGAGTGCGAGGATCTTTGGGTCTGCGTAGAAGTAGAAAATGTCCAAGGAAAATCCGAAAAGCTTTATGTATGTGCTGTGTATATCCCCCCACCCGTCCAAATACACATTCTTGAGCGCTTTATTAATAACTCAAGTCGAGTATTGGAATCACTCGATGAAAATATAATTATTGCTGGCGATTTCAACCTAAGTAGTATAACATGGTCTCTGGAGCCACATGGGCATCTTTGTGCAAAGCACTCCAACAGTTACCTACAAAATCTCTTAATAGACTTTCTCTCATGCAATGAATTGAACCAATTCAATCAAATCTTAAACTGTAAAAATAAGGTGCTCGATCTTGTATTGTCCAATATTAACACTGTTAATATTCTATCATGTCCTGATCCTTTAACATGTGTTGATCCTCTTCATCCGCCATTGGTTTTTTCAATGGATTTTACAAATCCGGTATCACTAGCCCCTAATAACACCATTACAAAATTTTGTTTTCATAAGGCTGATTATGAAAACATAATAAAAGGTCTAAATGAAATTGACTGGAGGGAAATTTTGGGTGAATGTCTTTGTGTTGACGATATGGTTGCACTGTTTTATGATGAAATTAGTAAATTAATACGGAAATATGTACCTAAAACGAAATCACGCAGTCATAAATATCCAGTTTGGTTTACTCCATGTCTGATCAAGTGCATTAAAGAAAAATATAAATATAGGATGAAAGTTCGCAAATTTAACAATCCTCGCGATAAGCTTACCTTTGATTTACTGAAAAAAAGATGTGAGGTATTGTTAGCATACTCCTACGCTAAATATATAGAACGACTTGAACTTTCCTTAAAATCAAACCCAAAATTAATTTGGTCGTTCTTAAAACAAAAGAGAGGCAATAGTTCGTATCCTTCAAAAATTAAAAACGACAATATATCTGTTTCCAATGGAACGGACATTTGCAATGTTTTCGCTAATTATTTTTCGTCAGTATACAGTTGCAATAATACTAATCAAAATTTTAATAATAACTCTAATCTTATGAACTCTTGTAGTAATGTGTATCTTGATTGTATATCTTATACAGTGGACCAGGTTTACAATGTTTTAAAAAGACTTGATATTAGGAAAGGAGCTGGAGCAGATGGTATTCCATCGATATTTGTCCGTAATTGCGCTAGTGCGTTGGCTTTGCCACTTGCATTGATTGTCAACAGATCTCTTAGCACTAGTACATATCCAACCTTATGGAAAAAAGCTCTGGTGTTGCCTTTGTTCAAAACCGGTGACAAAGAGGCGGTTAAAAATTATAGACCTATCTCCATTATTTCTGTTTTTGCAAAAGTATTTGAGCTACTTATATGTCCCGTTGTTTCATGGCACTTTAAAAAAAATGTTGCATCTGAGCAGCATGGGTTTGTGAAAGCTAGATCAACAGTCACTAACCTTGTTTCCTTTGTGGAAGACATTACTGAGGCTCTTGATACTGGCAAATCCGTTGATGCAATCTACACAGATTTCAGTAAGGCCTTCGACAAGGTTGATCATTCTATTTTACTTATGAAACTCAAAGGTATAGGTATAGCAGGCCCGTTGCTGGACTGGTTCAAATCGTATCTTTCCAATCGGTCATCAACTGTTGTCGTTAATGGTTATGCTTCTGAACCGTTTTTTGCCTATACTGGTGTACCTCAAGGGTCTCATCTGGGGCCTTTGTTGTTTAACATATTCATTAACGACATCAGCAGTTGCTTTAGTAATTCAAAGTTTTATCTGTTCGCTGACGATCTAAAGATCTTTAGACCTGTCTCGTCAAGTTCTGATGCAGAGATTTTACAGGAAGACTTAAATAATTTGTTATCATGGTGTCGTAACAACGGCATGTTGTTAAATGCTAATAAGTGTCATGTTATAAAATTTTCTAGAAAGAAAACATCTCTTGCAACAACGTATAACATTGATGGTCGTATTTTATCTGAAGTTCCTCACATACGCGATTTAGGAGTTACGCTTGACAATAAGCTCCGCTATAACATCCACATAGATAATATTGTTAGCAAGGGTTTTAGGACTCTTGGCTTCCTCTTCCGTAACTGTAAGCAATTCAAGGATGCACGCACTAAAATAATTATCTACTCAGCTTTGGTACGAAGTATTTTGGAATACTGCAGCGTTGTATGGAATCCACACTTTAATATTTACTCACAAAGAATCGAAAGGATACAAAAGAGATTTCTTTTGCATTTATCTTACGAGCATAATCTAGTTAAAACTCTAAGGAGTTACGAGGATAAGTTAAATTATTTTAAGCTTCAGTCACTCTCGAATCGAAGGCAGCTCCTTGACCTTACTTTCTTGCATAAGTTGGTGAATGGCGTCATTGATAGTTCCTACTTACTAGCTCAAATAAATATTCGTGCCCCATTAAAAACTAAAAGGCCGTCGTCTTTTATACCATTCGTAGAAAAAAACACACGCTCACGTCAAGGACGCTGTTCTCCGATTAATAGATTGATGTTGAGTTATAATGCTGTGTATAAATTAACACATAAGAATTGTATTGGTGCCATAACGACTACTGATGATAAACAAAAGGATAGAAAAGTTGATATTGATATTTTTTCAGATAATCTCTCGATATTTAAACGTAATTTATTTTATTTATTCTCATCGAATAATTGTAATTTATAGTCAAAAGGTATATTTTTTATTAAGAAAATTTAAATAAATGTGCTAAGTTTTAATCAGTGTCAACATTGAACAATAAATTAATGAGATTATTTTTCATGTTTAACGATTGTATAATTATAAAATGATGCATGTTTTAAATTATCATATAATATTAATTTCTGATTCAATTTATATACAACTTAATTTTTATAATTTTGAAATGATGCATATTTTAAATTATCAAATAATATTAATTTCTGATTCAATTTATATTTAACTTAATTTATATAATATTCCCATAATTTTTGTATTTATTTTAATTCACTACTTGTATTTGTGTCTATCTTTTATGAAATGTGTGTAACACCTATAATTAAGGCAGCACTTAGAATTTATTATTTATTGTAATTATATTATTATGATTTTGTTAGTGTATGTCTTGTTGGTGTTAATAAATAAATAAATAAAAAAAAATAAAATATTGACTTATCTTTTTTTATTTTTGAACCAACTGAATTAAAAGAAATACTAAATTTTAAGTAAGCTTACCACATTGCATTAGTGAAAACCGCATCCAAGTCCGTAAGGCTGTTTCTGTGATTAACATGCAGAAACAGACACGAATTCTAAAAATAGTTGCTTTGGGTTCCATTGCAATAATAAAGAACTCCAATAATAGTTTTTGTCAAATATCTCAGTATATAGTCATATCAGTGACAATTTTATTTTACATATAGGTTTTAGCACAACAATTTTGAAGCTTGAATCTATTACTTAATTAAAAAAATATCCCTATTTTTTACAAAATGTCAGGCTAACAATTGCTTTAATTATCAGTTTAGTTCATTTATTTACTCAATTACTAATGATTTTTTTTTATCTGTTTCAAGAGTTTCTTCATTCGGCCATAATAATTTAGTGACATTCCAACTTACACGAAGCATTAGTGACAATATTATTAAAATGGCTACAGGTAATTCAGAAACAAATGTATCTAACAAAGAAAAACATACAAACAGATTAGTAACTGAAAAATCACCTTATTTATTACAACATGCTCATAATCCTGTGGACTGGTATCCTTGGTGTCAAGAAGCAATTGATAAAGCTAAAAAAGAGAACAAACTTATCTTTTTGTCAGTGGGATATTCAACATGTCATTGGTGCCATGTAATGGAAAAAGAATCTTTCGAAAACGAAGGTGTTGCAAAGATCATGAATGAACATTATGTCAATATAAAAGTCGATCGAGAAGAACGACCTGATCTTGATCGAGTTTATATGCTTTTCGTAATGGCCACCACAGGTGGAGGAGGGTGGCCAATGTCAGTCTTCCTTACACCAGATTTACGACCAGTAACAGGTGGTACTTATTTTCCACCAGAAGACCGTTGGGGTCGGCCTGGATTCAAAACTATTCTCCTCTCTTTAGCTAAAAAATGGAAAGAAAATCAAGCCCAGTTCTTAGAAGCTAGCAATAACATTATGGATGCATTACAAAATATATCCAAAGTTGACATTGAAACCTCGTCGGTACCAGGCGAAGCAACTTGGAACAAATGTGTAAGACGTTATATGACGTTATTTGAACCAGAATTTGGTGGTTTCGGAAGGGCACCTAAATTTCCACAAGCTTCCATATTTAATTTTCTTTTTCATTGCTATGCACGTGACAAACAGGATCCAGAGGGTAAAAAATGTTTAGAAATGTGCCTGCATACCTTAACGAAAATTGCAAAAGGTGGCATTCATGACCATGTTTCGAGTGGTTTCGCGCGTTATTCAGTAGATAACCATTGGCATGTTCCTCATTTTGAGAAAATGCTTTATGATCAAGCGCAATTAATGGTCGCGTACACAGATGCTTATCTCGCAACAAAAGACGACTTCTTTTCAGAAGTAGTGCGCGATATTATAAAATATGTTAATAGAGATTTAAGACATGAAGAGGGAGGCTATTATAGTGCAGAAGATGCTGACTCCTACCCTGTTCCCGGTGCTTCTCATAAGAAAGAAGGTGCGTTTTGTGTTTGGGAATATGATGAACTCGAATCTCTCCTTGGAGATAAGCGCCTTGGTTCCCTTTCTTATTTGGAAATTTTTTGCGATTACTTCAGTGTCGAAGTAACAGGAAACATCTCACCTGAAAGCGACCCTCATGAAGAATTAACCAATAAAAATGTCTTGATAATATATGGAAGTAAAGAAGAGACAATGTCCAAATTTGGTATTAATGAGGAACAATTTGATTGCATTATATCTGAGTGCATTAATATATTATACGAAGCGCGGTCAAAGAGGCCCCGACCACATTTGGATACCAAAATGCTTTGTTCGTGGAACGGTCTTGCTATAGCTGGTTTAGCGCAAGCTGGACAAGGACTGGGAGAAAAAAGCTTTGTAGATGATGCAATTAAAACTGCTCAATTTGTAAAAGAATATTTGTATGACAAAAATAATAAAACCCTTCTCCATTCTTGCTATAAATCTGAAAATGGGTCAATTGCTCAAAAGTAAGTGTAAAATCGATTTCTTAGTTTTATAATCTTGAATTTTTACATTATCACTTGTTTGTCCGTGGCTCCGCTTGTTTGTAATCTATATACGTCGTTAATAATACTCATAGCTAAGGCTAATCATAATTCATGGTATATTCGGAATATATAATATATGCATCTATTCTAAATTTAACACAAATCTGTTAAGGCATTAGTTGAACAGGTAACAAAAAATCACAGAGATAACAAATTATATTCATAATACTACTTATTGTGATTTCAGTTCCCAACCTATACAAGGGTTTTTGGATGACTACGCATTTTTAATCAAAGGTTTACTCGATTTGTATGAAGCATCGCTTGATTTAAAATGGCTTAACTGGGCTCGTGAACTGCAAGCAAAACAAAATGAAATATTCTGGGATGATGAGAGTGGTGGATTTTTCACTTGCTCTACCGAAGACAGCACCGTAGTTTTACGACTTAAGGAAGGTAAGTGTGTAATGAAGTAGAAAAATTTATTTTATTTTAGTTCTATTTGTGTATAGTTACTTGAGTCACAGCTATTTAAATTGTTTAAGTAAGATAAGTTATATATTTTTCTCTAATATCCTGTATTATGTCGGACATTGATAACTTATATCAATATCTGAATGGGTAAAACGTTTGTATAAGTTACAATGGTACATGACAAAAATCTGATGACGATATTAACACGCAATATGCGTCTGATGAGTCTATACTTCTACCTTTTGTATATCGACAGTTCATCACTAAGACCTCCCAACTCAAATCAAAAGTCTACAAGAGGCACAGAAGGTTTTCGACGGCCAATTTAAGTACCTAGTACAAAAACAATAGCTGATTTGAAATATTATGAATAGGTATACTACCTATAATATTTTTTTAGATTTACGCGAATATTTGACGTCTCAAATAAAAATGTTTTCGGAGTTTTTCGCCGATTTATTATTTGTAAGAGATCTTTTTCCCGTCTCTTCCGTGACCGTGATTGCTGTAAAGCATTCGAACGATCGGGAACCAAAAATCTTCTATATATAAATAGACAAAAATGAAACAGTTCAACAACACTTTTTTTCTCCTCTGATTTTCAACCGATTTCAATTTCTTTTGTGTTACTACTCAGCTCTTGCTATCGAGGAGTTTTAGTGTTGCCAGTTAAAAAAATGATTATAGTCGAAATTGGATCACTGAGCGAATATTAGTCAAAATAAATTCCCAAAAAAGTCCGAAAATATAATTGTATCAGGTACTATCCAAAATTTATATTGGAAATGTTTTTAAAATGTGCTATAGAGATTTAACAATAAATTTAGTATTTCTATCGGTCAATTGACGGTATATCATAAATCTCTTAATTTACTATGTTTAAAATACTGAAAAGTTGTCTAATTGGCATCTAATTTCCAGATCAAGATGGCGCCGAGCCGTCTGGCAATAGTGTATCATGTCACAATTTGTTGCGACTCGCCGCCTATACGGATAAAGACGAGGGAGGAGACTCTGAGAGAGATATGGCCAAGAAAGTGTTCACAGCTTTCGCTAAACGACTGAACGATACACCCACCGCTCTGCCCGAGATGATGTCAGCGCTCATGTTCTACAATGATTCTCCTACACAGGTTTTTCTATAGATTTTTTTAATTTTATTGGGAATTTAAAAAATGTGTTTTATTTTGGCAGGATAGGATGATAATTTTTGTTATAATTAAAATATTGCAACTATACGTTTCCGATGTGCAGTCACTCAAAACCGAGTGATTGGTTTTTAGTACAACTTTATCGCGTTTCTAAGTTTATACTATAAATTGGAATCATGAGTAACTGGAAATATATATAAAATACATTATGTACATGTCGTTTACATATATTACGAGGGGTCAAGTATGTTGGTCATAGAGTAATATATGACTATTTGTAACTAAGCAAACATGCTATGAAAGTTTTTATATTATGTTTATGCTTATGTTCATCAGAAACATTAAATAAAATAAATAAAGAAATATGTTGGGTCATGAACACACAGCACCATCTAGTTCCATGGTAAGCTACGAGGCTTGTGTTATGGATACTAGATAGTTGATACATTACTCATGGATAAGTTTAAATACATACATATTATAAATACCCATGACTGCAGTACAAACATTCGTGCCCATCACACAAATGAATGCCTCCAGCGGGACTCGAACGCGCGCTCGCTCGCTGAGCCAAACGTGTCGTTTAATGATGTGAGTATACATATACTAGTCTTCAAAGTTAGTGCGTATATAAAAAATAGTAAGTATATAAATAAAAGTGAGTAAGTGTATAAATCGGGCGCAGGTGCTGATAGCGGGCGGGTGCTCAGACCCGCGCACGCTGGAGCTGGTGCGCGCCGTGCGCTCGCGCCTGCTGCCCGGCCGCGTGCTGGCCGTGGCCGACCCCGCCGCCGACCCGCCCGCCGGTATGTCCGACATATGTACGTAATCTGACTTACTAACACGCCGGCCGACCTCGGCACCACACCCAACATAAATAATAATACTAACACGCCACAGTCTACACTTATCCATACAGGCGTCTAACGGATACCTCTAGACTCTAGACAGGACGATCATAAGGGGGGACACATGAGTGGACGCACCTGACTGTCATATGTACTTTTTTTATATGACAGTCGGGAAACGGCTTTAGGGTGGACGCGAATAACTGTACTTTGCCACAATTGGTATTTTTTTAAAATCTTGCATTTTACTGCATTTATGTTAAAACAAAGGCCATCGCCGTCTATATGGATTTGTATACTGTGCTCTGCTATTGCTCATATTGGTTGGGTGCTTTGGCAAAATTATTTCTATTGCTATTTATTATTTATTGATTGTTCACTATTATTAAGTCACAAATCTTAGTCTTTACCTAAATATTAAATAATAAAAAGAAATGTAATATTATAATTCATAGAATGCTAGCGAATAAATTGTACTGCAAGATTTTATAGTCTCCCAACAGGTAAAAAAATAGGTCATTCTTAAGTAGCTAATCTACCAGAGAATAAAATTTTAAAATTTTATATTGAATTACTTCGTCCGATGAAAATAGTTTCAAAGATATGTTGTTTTACTTTTATGCAATTTTTCATATTATTTAATCTAATATATAAAATTCTCGTGTCACAGTGTTTGTAACAAAACTCCTCCGAAACAGCTTGACTGATTCTTATGAAATTTTGTGAGTATATTCAGTAAGTCTGACCGTCAGAGAATAGGATGTAAACTATTTTATACCCCTAAGTGATAAGGGTGGTCCACCCGAAAAAAAAAATTTTTTGGGAATTTTTTTTTATTTAATTTTTTATGATTCGGCATTAAAAAATATATACAAACCTAAATTTTCAGTTCAGCTAGCTTTCTTATATTTTAGTTACGTACTATTAAGATCTCATCAACTTCATGCCAGAGCTTGCGTTATCTGCTGCGCTTACAAAATCAAAATAATTACCAAAATACGAAAAGTATTATTAGTAGAAATAAGATGTTCAAAACAGGAAAACCAAAGTAAAATTCATCAACGCTTAGCTCGCTGTTAAAATTATGGAAGGATAAATGGAGGAAGTTAACCCCTTTTCATGTTACATGGCAAATCTCGTATTTATGGCCTTAGCATGTAAGCAAGATTGTTAAAACAACTTATTAAGACAAAAGCTCGTTTTTTGTAGTACTCAGCCGCATACGCAGCGTGGGAGACGCGCCCACGGCGTACGTGTGCCGCCGCTACGCGTGCTCGCTGCCCGTCACCGACGTCAAGCAGTTGGAGAACCTGCTCGATGAACCCACTCCCGCGACTAATAAGTAATATTATTTAGATTATAATCATTTATTATAATAATGGTATACATTAGTGTAATGGCTAGGATGTACGGCTGCACATCCGGAGGTCCTGGGTTCGAGTCCCGGGTCGGGCCAAGTTTAGTTACTGAGTCTTCCTGTATAGTAAGCCTCAATAACAGCCCGGAGTTGGGAAGTTGGCGGTGTTTCACCCCCGTGCCTCGGAGAGCACGTAAAGCCGTCGGCCCTGCGCCTCTCACTCTCACTGGTCGTGTCGAGCAGTCGTCCCACCGGAGTATGAGAGTGACAGGAATAGAGAGTGCCCTTGTGTCTGCGCGTACACTTGTGCACTATAATATCTCCTGCGCAGTTGGCTAGTCTCAATAAGATTGGCCGCCGTGGCCGGAATCGGTCAGGAGATCATCATATATTATATGCCTTCAGCTAAGACGGTCTAACCCACATGTAATTGATTCTTAAAATCGATATAATTATTTTTGTATTTTTTTAACGTTACTAAAAAGCAATTTCATTTTTTTATATTTTTTTTGTCTTTTTTTCTAATGGTTTTTTTTCTTTATTGTATAAAGTATTGATCGCTTTTGCACCAACAATCTTACTTCTCTATTATTAATTTAATATTTTATTATTCTTATTAAAATATGAGGAATAAGTTTATTTAAAAGATATTAGAAAGCAATTTCTTGTGTTGTTTTTTTTAATTATACAGTTAAAATAGTGAAAATTTGTATGTGAATGTACGTTTGTTACTTATTTACACTTTAACGCATTGGCGAATTTGAGAAACTCAATGGATTTATGTAGCTTTAAGCTTGAAAATTAATTGACTAACTAGGTATAGATAGATACTAGAAAAAGTACATAGTCAGTAATAAAATTAGCAATATTTGAATTTAAACCTTATAAAAGCCTGTTTCGTAGATGGTAGACTGCTAATATTAGGTAGTAGGTACCATCATTAAAAACTTCTATTAGTTTTACTAATTCCTTATTATTATCCACATTTTTTTAACATTGATTTTACGTTTAGTTAAAATTATAACTACATTTTTTTTTCTAGTGTCGAATATATTTTTATTTTAGTGTCGAATATGATGCGACACTGATAAAATTTCTAAATATAATTACAAAAAATATATAAGAAAGGCCATTGTTTCAGTTATAAATGAAGTTGTTTATTCTTTACAATAATTATTTATTACGGGTCTGATTTGATTTCACTGTAATTGACTCGTAAAATATTGATTGAAAATATTAAAACTATTATAATAAAAAGTAAATATAAAAATATATTTGAACAGTAAAGAAGTACATATATATTTCAAGTAATAATAAGGGTTTTGAATATATTACCCATTGACCTTTATGTAATAAATACTCTTGTCTTAAAATTGCTTCTTGTTAAATATAGTATTGTAATTAGTAATTACTTTGCATGACAATAATATTTAAATACTAATATGCACTGTTACATATAATTATGTAAATTATCAAACTATATATATGTAACAAAAAACTGCATGTACAGTAGTTGCAAATATTTTAAATTAATTTAATTAAATATACTTAAGATCTCTTCTGTTTTTTACTTCATAATCGATAAAAAATTATTTTAAAATATATGCATTGTGTTTATAATTTTTATAAAGCTCATTAAGTACAGATTTTTTTACCACGTAGTGGTAATAATGTCTGATTATTGTGATAGAGTAACTCGAATAAAGAATATGATATATGTACCTATTATAGGAATTAAAAATTCACAATATTGAAAATTAAATTGTTAATTTGCGATATATATATATATATATATATATATATATATATATATATATATATATATATATATCTTAGAATATATGTATTTATTTATATACTAGTGTATTATTGTACACATTTATATGGCGTATCTAGTTGTAGCGTAATCTCTGCTTAGAGCAAATGTTTGTAGTTGTGATAATAATATTTAATCATCCTCAACTTGTTTTATTTTCGAAAGGAAAATAATTTTTCATCCCTAGTCCCTTATAAATTAAGATTTGTTCACATGATATTGTACAGCGCTTTTTTACAGGATACTTTTTATCGAGTTAGTTATAGCACAGATCATATAATACTATACTAAAGTCTGATTTTTATTTCCACGGAAATATGACAGCTATCATTCTTTGACAATTTAGTTTTCATAAACCTTTTCTGCTTTGTATTTTTTTAATATAAAATAACAAAAAATATGAAACAGAATTAGATCAAGTAAACTATATGTATGAATTGTAAATAGTCTTTATTTTGTGCAATCAATGCACGCTAACTGTAATGTAAATTTTTAATGGTTAAATGAATAAAACAGGAGTAAAACAAAATATTTTACAAACAAAGGGGTTTTACTAAAAAAGGCTTGCAACCTATGGATTATTGGACAGGGATTCCTTTAATAGAAAAATAATTTCCTTAATAATTATTGTAACTTCAATAATATGATAATAAAAAAAATAATTACCATTTTAGAGTTATCAATAATTTTTTAAGTCTTTAGTTTTTCTAATTGAAACCTTAACGTCAAGAAAGGTTTATTTTCTTATTTTGCTAAAATGCTTTCCGTTTTTAGTGATAATGTTTCAAAGTTAACAACACTTTAGAAATGTCAGAATTCCGTCGAATTAAAAATCAGACTATAGTAGTTATATCTTGTACATAGACCGATCATACGTCTTTTGTACTACTGCTACTTGAAAATTTACTCGAGGTGGTCGCTGAGACTATTTATCCGTTACACTATTATAGTCTAAGATCCTGATCTATATGGTGGACTCCTCTCTTTTTCTCGACGAAATATATTTTTTAAACCATAAACATACATATTAACAAATACGTACCCAGATGGGTTGCCTCCAAAATTTGCTCCAGCCTATTTTTAATTAAGAAATAGATCGGGATCTACTATTGGGTTTCATCAGGAAAAAAAATAGTTCATTTAAATGTCAATAGATTTGTTATTGAAGTTTGTGCAAAATTGACATCTGTTTATATATATATATATATATATATATATATATATATATATATATATATATATAATGGTTTTAAAAATACTCAAAAGTAAAGAAAAACAAATTATGCATTGGTAAATTAAATTTGACAGCTATTATTATTGAAAAAGCAAGCCATCGATGGGTTTATATAAGTATTCGCGGATAGCGCTATATCCAAACATGTCGAAATTTATTTTATGAACGATAAAAAAAGACATTGAGAAGATTATAATATGTATATTTTATTTCTATTACAGGTTTTATATGACATACAGTATTACATTTAGATAGAAGACACTGTAGATACATTGGTAGGTAAATAGATGTTGATGAAGAAATTCATGTATTCTTAGTCTTGTTAAAACTTGGGTTAAACATTACGAGTATCTTACACATCAAAACTTATTCTGAAATACCTGTATGAATGCCTGAAATACATATATACACCTACTAAGTAATAATATTTATCAAATATAATTATTAAATATAGATCGTTTAGTCATTTAAATAATACATTGTGATAGCTCACCTATATTACGTTACGGTTTTAACCAACTAACTATTACTTGATTAGGCTCGGATCTGAATAACTAAAATATTAGTAAATGCAAATAAATGGTCTTGAGTCTAGCAAATTGTTGAAAATCTAAAATAAGATAATTTAAACACGAGATGTGGTCTTCCTTCAATGTTAATTTATATGAAAAAGCACAACACGACACGACAAGCGTCGAATTATATGAAATTCTTTGGTTAATAAAAAATGCAAGAGAATAATCGTAATCATGGTGCGTTAATAAAACTTCTAAAAAGATTCTCGAAGAAAGCTATTTTTCTTTTCCTATTACAAGGGACCGTAAGAAAGATGTCACCTTGATGATGATCGGCAACCACATATTTCATATTAATCAGAAAAGTTCAATGATCTTAGTATATTATAATTACACATCAAGATTTTTAGATAAGTAAGATATTACACCCTAATTCTAGTACTAATATGTGACATGTTGACAACAGCCAGAAAATACTCAAATTATGATATATTTTTTTTAAATCTTGTAAATAGCAATTATTTCTCAGCTACAGACAAATATTTTACGCACCTTAAATCAGCTCTGACACAGTGGTAATTTACAAGTATGTATCAATAAACAGCAGAATATATCAATAAATAATTACTTAGTATTCACATATAATTAAAAAAAAACTATAATTTTGCACATTAAGGAATATGCGTGTGATTTAAATAAAGGTGAAATATTTTTTTATTGCTTTTGAATTAAGCCTCTATTAATATTTTTTAATATAATTTCTTTTTGATTAAGAAAATTATTAAAAAGTGCAAATAGACCAAAGTAGTTGAAACGCAACGCCATTGGTCAGACCAAATATGATGATTGTCGCTACAAATAACAAATATGACATCAAACCAAGCGCGCGAAATGGCGGGCGCTTAAAGTATTCGTATCGCGGTAATCGGTAGTCGATAATTAAAATGATATCTTTAAAAAATTTTTTTACTAAATTTTAGTTTTTTGGGGCTAGATATTTTTTTTACAATTACTTATCTATGTAAGCCATTGTATAAATAAATAAAAACAAATCACGCATATTCCTTATTCTTAGAAGTAAGACGATAGATTTGAAGGAAAATTTGATATTAAAGGTGTACATTTAACCCTTATCACAATTTGCTAGGTTATCAAGCGCCACAGACCAATGTAGGAGGTACTACTAGGAAATAGAATTCATAAAAACTATCTACTTTAAATATGAGTTATAAATATTAAATATCACATTAAACTAATGTCAGTTCAGTCGAGGTACCTATGAACAAACCTACAGAATTCATTAGATATACACACAGGAACGAAATAGTATGTTACGTCACATCCATATATTGATGTCAAACTTACATAATTATAATATATAAATACTTGATGACTCTAGTTTATGTGCATCAGTATATAAACAATATATTTGATACGGTTAATTTATGTTCACAATTGAATGAAAAAATTAGTTATCAAAAATTTAAAGACAATATTACAGGTTTATTTCTGTTGCTAATAAAAAAACCTAATCGTTTTAATTCAACCAAAATTGTTGCAGTTATTAATACCAAAATTTCTGTTACTTTTTATTATTATTAATTTTTACTGAAACTATATTTTAACCGTAACATATATATTTTTTTCCAAACCTGCAGCCTTCAAGGTGCAATACTAGTATTATCTCTTAAATATAGACAAATAGAGATAGGTAGTTACTGCAGTACAACTTTTCTTTTCACCGTACAAGTTCAATATATGGATGTAAGGTATAACCCAACCAAAATATCTATATACTTCGCTGGAATTCACGTTTCCAACCACTTCTTCCTATTTCTATCTATTAATACCATTAATAATAAATAGTATAATCTTACAAAAAGTACTATTTTATTGTTGAATGTATCGTATTTAATTTGCTATTAGTTATATGACGTGACAATAGATATTTTAGTTGGGTCAAACATTTAATTACATAATTCAAATCATTATGATATATTTTAAGACAACTTTATTATATCATTTAATTAAAATAAGTTTTCCATATTTTAATGATAACGTCCAATATTAAAATTTCATATTACAACTTAAAATTAAAGACTATAGTTTTATTTCATTACAATGTTTGTCCATAAACATTACACCTTACTTCAGTATGGTTAGAAAATGGTATACATCTAGTATGCCCAAAAAATCAACTTTAAAGAGGTATTATACTGGGAATGTAATTAAAATAATTCATGTTTAATTTAAAACAGTTACACATATATAGTGTAATATTATATAGGGCAATAGATTCGATGAACATTTAGAAGCAAATATATTGACATAATTTATATGTCATCATATTGTCGATATATCAAACATATCAATATTTGCCATTCGAAAATTCAGCCAATATAAAAATATATATTTTAACCCAGACGCTTATAGATTTTCAATTTAAAAAAAAACTTACTTTTAATAATTACTATTACTGACCATCGATACCGACTACATATGTATTTGTCCTTGATAATATTACAATTCTTGTACATATTTTAAACAATTCATCAAGCATTCGCAATGTAGAGGGAGTTTTGCACAAACAACGCACATGCAAATAAACAGCGAGGTAGTTTCTTAATTGTCCTTCATGTAATAGTGAATATGTTCGTCATATGAATAAACAATTTTACTTTAAATATATATAAAATTTACACTCATGTAAACTAAAAGTACCGTAATATTTCTGGTGCGAAATATCAATTAATAAAATACAATATAAAACGATAGTGCTCAATAAAGCCTGAAAAAATTAATTAAAAAAAACATTACTTGAGAATTGTTTCAGTCCACTATAATTTAACAGAAATAGAAATTAACTTATAGTTAAAAAAAAATTACAACAATCATGAGCGCAAAGCATTAAAAAACATTCAAAACTAGGTTCTAATATCACGTGATTAAATATGATTTTACTGTTCAAATTTTGAAATCTATTTATATATTAAAAAAAATTTCATTGAATTAAAAATTACATTCTTTTCATATCCATTTGTACGCAAATATAAGACAAATGTTAATCATTAATTTTTCAAGTAATACTCTTGCCTTTTATAGCATATTTAAATAAGGGTATATAACATATAGGAAATAAAAAACTCTTTGAGAACATTGATTGCCTTCACGTTATACCGATGTGAGTACTTTTGACTTCCGATAGAATTATACGATCAGTTTAAGATACTTCGCATTCATATTCCAGAACAGTCTTGTGGTAGAAGAGAAGATATCTGAAAAAAATAAAATAATAGCTAATAATCAAATGTTGTTTTCCCACAACCTTTTTTATTAGTGTTTGTCACAAACAAAGGAAAAACTTGTTTTTTTGGACAAAATCCAGTTTTTTTTTTTAGATTCAATGGTCATGATACTTTGTTCCATTTACGCGAATGTTTTACATTTGAAATGAAACATATATTTTCGAATTATTGTAGCGGTTTTTTTTATATTTCGGTTTTCGTCAAATTTTTAATTATAAATAGTTTTGAAATTTATAACTATAGGAACAGCAACACTCAATAAGATTAATTAATAAAATTCTATTAAAATATTGTAACAATTATAACAATGGCAACCAATATTAAAATTTGATATTGAATATCCAATTATATAATTTATTAAAATTATAAAAATATTTTAAAATTAAAATTAACAAATATTGTAAGGTACTTTGGTGCCATTTGTCTATTTATTCTAAATCTCTATAATAACTTTTGAGACGTCTTAAACCTTAGTCTCTTCTCCCATGACTATATTTGCTGAAAAACATTCAAAACGATTTGAAACGAATCAAAACATAAAACTGAACCACGCCTAAACTCGAAAAGATGAAATCATTTTATTTTAATCTATACTAATAAAACTGAAGTACCTATCTGCGATTAAAAATTATCTTACCTATATTAATTTCAAATCGCTTAACACACATCTTTGCAACGTTTTAACCGATTTATAAAATTTTTGTCTGTCTGTTCCGGCTAATCTTCAAAACGGCTAGACCGATTTTGACAGGACTTTCACTGGCAGATAGTTCATGTTATAAATACTTAGTAATAAGGAATTAGTTAAGGTTTTTTTTATTTTAGAAAAAGTATTAGGGTTCTGAGCAAAAAAATTTAAACAATAAATTGTAAACAAAATCCGATTCAAATAATAAAATAACAATTGAATAGTAGTTGGTAATTTTAATTTTTTTATTATTTAACTACTTTTATCTGTTTAAAATGTACGTAGGGACGCAAACGAACGAAGCGATGGTAAATCGCTAGTCTATCTATATCTATACAGATAAATAAAATTGAAGTGTCTGTTTGTAATGTTAAAATAACAGCTTTTTACTAAATGCATATGAAATTATATACGTTACTTATAAGAAAAACACAATTAAAAAAGTTTTTCTCTGTTTGTCTGTTTATTCTGGATGATCTCCGAAACGGCTGGACTGATTTTGACGGGATTTTCACTGGCAGATAGCTGAATGTTATAGGGAGTAACATAGGCTATTTTTATTTTAGAAAAAGAATTAGAGTTCCACTCAAAAAAAATTAAATGTATTCAGGGACGCACCGAGCGAAGCGAGAGTAAGTCGCTAGTTTAATACAAATTGGAAAATGCCCGCAATAACTAGTAACATATAAAGCAAAAAATATAAATACACACCCTTCACTGTCCAAGACCTCACGCAAGGACGCTCGGGTAATCATGTGGTCGTCACATTTGAACCAGCTGCCCTTCATCTGGCGTACGTACGCTGTATAGTGACCAGCGTCGAGAGACCCCAGGTGGTTTACCACAGCAAATAAAGAGTATCTATTATCTTCAATTACTCCTTCAGGAGCATTGTTATTATCAGCGGCGTCCACAGCTCTTCTGTGAGTGGACATGAATGGTGTCATATCTAGTTCCGCTGGAAAGGAGATAAACGCGGATATCTTCCTATCTATTTGTGATGAGTGCTCAAAGCGTTTTAGGTGGAAACTTGCTACTATTGGCAAAGTTTCTAGAGTTAATTGTTTTGTGGATTCCCGGTAGGCTCTGCAGTTTGAGCATTTGATTTTTGCCGCCGAGCCCAAGTGTTCGGCTCTGGTGAAGCGTTCTAAGCAGGCTTGTAAGGAGCCTGGGCCGGCCACGTCCAGACTTATGTCCCAGAAGGGATCTATAGTAGTGGACACGCCTGAGCAAGACGTGCATACAACATCGCTCTGTAACCCGCCGGTGAATATTTGGTCTATTATACAATTGCAGCGACCATTTTCCTTCTTCTCCGTATCTTCAACTCCATTCATGCAGTGCCTGGAATGTGGATTAAATATAAGTAAAAGATAAAAAGACGACAGTATAGCTATATTTCGACGCAGTAACAGTACATAGTTACTAATACGACTTTCGATTTAAAGCTGAAGTAAATCTTTAAGTTTTTTTACTTTCATGAAAACAATGAAGGTATAAGATAGGTGTGTATCAAATATCCAATTTCTATTTGGATTAACTTAAATATCGCACGGTCTAAATAGAACTGATAAGCGCACCAACTAGAACTCCCACCTACCTAGTTCACTTTGTAAACTTTTTGTAAACTATAGAAGTGGATCACTATGTCCTTTCCATTTACGACACGAGAAAATTACATATGGATGATCCACTTTCAATCGTATAAAGGCGAATTGTTTGTCGAAAATTTCTTGCAACATTTATCCCGAGAGAACGTTAAAGTTACATTCTGTTTGATAAATCCAGTAAGCATCTAATAAAAGTATTTGATAGACTATGTCAAATATATGCGCTACCGCCTAACAGTTATTTGTTTTTAGACACTTTTTGCAATAAGCTATCCTACGGGATCCCACTTTATGTACCGGAATAGATAATACCCTTTATCACTCTCCAGTTCATAATATTTTAACTATTCTTTTACTTTTTTTTCTAATGACAAAAACTAATACCAAATCGTTGCTTTGATGGTAAGTGATAGAAACAAAAACCATTCGCATTCTAATATTAGTAAAAATAAATATTTAAAAATCTAAAGAAATAGGTTTTGACCAACTGCATGGAACTCCATTATTTACATACTGGCTATATAACCTTGATGTCATCAATTCAAGATGTTATATTGATATGACAATTAGAAGAAATAAGAATGAATCTATTGAGACTTGTATAAACAAAAAACATTGGCAATATGGTTCCTTAAAGAGTCACGTTTCTGTCATACTTTGAAGTAAAGATCGCTGTGCGAATGCTATTGAAAACTTTTATATGAACACAACTAACGCATTATTTACACGTAATGAGCCCATTTTCATATATCATCGTTCGTTTTAACCATCAAATCCAACCTCAAAAAACGTGACACTATAGGACATTATGTTGCATGTATATTACTTGTTTCATAAGTTTAGAAAAAAAATAAAAATGGCGAAAGGCTAGCAATGCCTCAAAGGTTTTATCACTTTAAAAAAAACAACACACCTATGTAAGACATCGAGTGTAGCAATGAAGAACTCGTGCGCGTCCTGCTGCTCGTAGCCGGCGAGATGGCGCGCGTGGGTCCAGATTAGATGCAGCAGCCGATGCAGGGTTAGTGGCGTCTTGGCACCGGAGTAGAACTCCTGCTTACACACATACGTACATAAAATCCGCTTTATTGTATAATATATTTGCGACTTTGCTCGCATGATGAGCGTCACGAAATATCATTCATTTACAAATGAATGAATGATGATTTTTTTGTCACGTAAAAACGGACGAATGTAAACAGGTTAAAGACAGACAGTGAGGTATATAGAGCTACTTTAACATTTATAATATTAGTATGAAAGTATAGATTAAATAACGTGCAAAAGCAGGGGCGAATTTCGACAACAGACGATCCGAGTATCCATAGACTATAGTGATATTAGATCTGGCCGCCTGAATCTGAAGGTATCTGTTTTTTGATAAAATCTATACTAATATTATAAAGATGTTAAGTTTGTGAGATTGTGACGTTGTAAGGGGTAATCTCTGGATCTACTGAACCGATTTAGATGAAATTTGGTAAGAAGATAGTTTGAGACCCTGGTAATTTATTGGGAAGCAAGCTAAAGACGAAACCGAGCGAAGCGAGAGTGAGACACTAGTATATTATAAAGGCAAATGCACTGTTTAGGTATGAATTTTTAAGAAATGGCATTCTTATCTTTTTTTATGAATCACAAAATAATCAAACATAAGATACGTGATCAATTATGATATTCGAAATAAAAAAACAGACCAAAAATATGGTATAAAATATAAATATATTTTTATATACATAATATATAAGGGCAGGCGAAACCAAATAAACAAATAGTTTAAAGTATAAATACAATAATTTTCATTATCTTGCATTAAATATTTACTGTACAAATATTTCATTTTCAACATAGGTACATTTTATAGCGCTCAATGAACGATATGAAAGTAAACAATTTAGATATAATACAAAATAAAAGCGTTTTTTATATTTTTGTTGGAGTACAGACGACACTATATTTATTTTTATAATGAAAAAAATATTTTAATAGCGTTAATAGGTATATGAGAATAAAACGGTACGACTTAATTCACTACAGACAAAGTTATTAAAAATGCATATAATACGAAGAATAATACGAAATAAAAACAAAAGCAAAGTTCCACTGCGCTTAGCAGTAATCAATAAAATATGGGTATAATTAAACCGAACATTGCACCGAATAGGTCTCGATATCACTGCAACTTCAACACAGATTCAGGCTTGTAACAAAATCAATATTTCACGTGGATGCGAGTTATTTATAGCGCTTACCTGGAATAGCTTGGAAACTTCGCAAACAAGGCATTTTCCAGATCCCTGCGTTTTGCATTTGTGCTTCTCTCCTAAGAAATAGTCCCTTAGTAATGGCGTATGTATTAGGGTCTGAAATAAATTAAATTATCGTATCATAATATATTACATTATTATAATAATGATAAATTTTTTTATGAAAACTACGAACTCTCCTTCATTTCGCTTCAGCCTTCACCATACCTGTTCCAAAAAAGTAGCCTATAACTTTTTTGGGTGATTTACCTAATACCTTTACCTACCAGTGAAATTTCCGTTAAAATTAAATCATTTCAGCAATTCCGGAGATAAGTGGAAACAATCATAGGGACAATGTTTCTTTTGTTTTATGGGCTTCGTTATCGTGTAAATACGAAAAAAATATTTTGAACAGACTATCTGAGTCTATTCACAAAAAGATATTTCAAATCTTGTCTGCCTGTGCAGATTATTGAAAACAAACGGAACAATGAGTACTATCATTGGTACCTACGCTTTATGTTTAGTCATTTCAATAGCATAAAATAACGAACATCAGTCGTATTATGTAAATACACCACGTATTTACTTCTGTCATTGTAGAATTAGCTGAAAGTTGCGGGTTCAATACCTGATCCGTACAAAAACATATTTAATACGTATATTGGGTATAAATAGAAATATAAACTATTTTATTAATGAAAGTATATTATTCTCTATCTACCCGGTGAGGCTATGGATTGAAATAAAATATTTAATGTAAAAACTTAAAAAAAAAACGACTTCCAGGCACTAAAATGTAAAAAATAACTAAACGGGGGTTTTCATTTAGAATAGATACCTAATCAGATATTTTCTAAGTCGGTGCCTGCCGATGCAAATCAAACCTTTATAAAATATTTCAATATGTAAAATACATATTTACCTATTAGATATTTCAAATCCTAAAATATTGTCGGCCTAAAACTTTTCCGAATCGGTTCAGGCGTCTTCGAGTAATCGGTGAACATACATTAAAAAAAAAGATTCCGACGAATTGAGAACCTCCTCCTTTTGCCAAATCCTATCAGCAGTACAGAAGATGTACTGCGCCGACCCCAAGTGATTGGGAAATGGGCAGGGAGAAGAAGAAGAAGATTTATCGACAAACCAGGTGACAAATGGTACACCGACATCAATATCATTGAAAAGTAGAAGTAGCTTGAGTTAGTCCCCCGAATATGTACTATGTGGGATGCTCTTGGTACTTCTCTGATAGCAGAGTGAACCGTGGTTATTATGGTCTGCCTTGGCAAGCCAGCCATCGCGTCGGAGCGCCGTTGTTTAGTGCGTCAGCGATCCTACGACACCTTATGAAGATGGGAAAAGTTCCGTTAGGTTAAGTTTTACTCCCCCTCAACGTGCGTTCACCTTGTCGTGGTGGGGGGGCTTAGTAATGCCCGGCAATTCAGCCGGGCGCGAAGCCAAGAAACGCACAGGGAGGTGGCCCACTTCGGTGGGCGGTGTACCATGCGGGTTGCTCCTGGTACTTCTCTGATAGCAGAGTGGACCTTGGAGCAACCCCATGGTTGTTGTGGTCTGCTTCGGCAGACCTGCTGTGGGGCGTTGTAGTTGCGTAAGCGATCCTGCAACGCCGCATTAAGACGGGAGAAGGTTTTGTTGGGTTTTAGTGGGTAGTACTGGCTTTGCCGGTGAGTCCCACACTTCGTGCGTAAATGCATTTCCCAACGTTAAAAAAAAAGGTTTTGCTGGATAATACTGGCTTTTCTACCTGATCACCACATATTACTGCTGTATGGATTGTATATGTAAATGCATTTTCTAATATTAAAAATTACATACCTAACCTAAACCTAAAAAATAATTATGAAAATCGATTTAGATTTGGTGAAGATGTTGTGTAATAATTCCACGAAAATAAAGCCAAATTGAACCTCTTCACCTTTTTGACTTCAGTCAAATATATAACAATAGTAGGGGACCAGACTGTACTATAATTGCATGTGTTTTATTGATATATTTTATTACGGCAAAGATGTAACATGTGATTGAACCTAGTGATTGAACCTAAAAAAATAACTATATATTAAAATAGGTTTTTTTTCAATCAAGTCAGTTATAAAAATGAAATATTAAAATTTTAAAATACTCATTAATTATTTGTTATTATTTCATCATTGGCATATATTACATTGAACTGATAGCGGTCAATTAATTTATTTCAGTTATTACGACTGTAAGTAATAATTTATAAACAATAACACCCACAAGCTTCATTAAAATTCAATATCTTAAGCATTCAATTGTAAATAGTCTAGTCGTACCTGTACATATAATAACAATATGACAAAATATTTAGAATCAATATATTTTTCATAAAAATATTTTTTAACTATAATTTTTTACACATCTCATGTAAACAGACACTATTAAAAAAAAACATTTTTGTTTTACAACTATAATTATTGTAATTTTGAGAAGAATCATGTCTATTGCAAAGATGAAAGCTAGATTAGGTTACTTTTACAGTTTTTTCCTAAATGGTATGCTAAATGAAAAGTTGACACTTTCTAGTACTAATAAAGGCCCAGCTGTCTGAAAAACTTTTTAGAAATCAATGAAAAAGAGTTTTTTTTTTTTCATTATTTTTACTTTAAGTGAGGAATAAATGAAGTTATTTTTTATATAAATGGCAAACTTGACGTTCAAAACTTTTAAACTTTCTTTCTATATACAATATAATAAACCTTTAAAAAACTTACTTGAACAATGCAGTTCATGAAGCAAGTAGAGCCCAGGTTTTGTAGACCTCTAAGGCCAATTGTGGTGTGAGAACTAATAAGTCTGCGTTTTCTTAAGCGTCTGAGAGCCATGGCTTCATTATTATTAGGCAACCAAGGAGTATATGGTACACTCATGCCCAAAGACCTAATAAACATAAATATAAAAATAGCATTATTTTCAGGTCATGTTTATTTATAATTATAGCTCTTCAGTACAAAGATATACTTACTTAGCTTCCTTTGCTCTGTGAGTTCTAGATATGTCAGTAAGTTCTCTGTCATATATATAATCTTGGCATTGTGCACAAAAAACATTGCCATAGCTGAGGTCCACATACAAGTAATGTTTCTTAGTCTTGGCATGGTCTTGAATATGTCCACCATAACAGGCAAAAAAAATGCAGTGGAGACATGAATGCATTCTTGGACCAGGTTTTCCACAGGTAAAGCAAAGACATGATGTAGCCTAAGCAAAGATTTTGAATTAAGCCCTTCCATTTTATTTAAATATCAAAAAGACTATTCTAAATATTTAGTCTAGATAAAAAAAACAATACTTAGTAACTAAACATATGTTATGAGGTCAAAGATTAGTAATCAGCTGATTACTTACAGCTGACAATATATAAAGTATAATATTGTAATAATCTATTAGTATAGTTAGAAATAGCTAGGATTTGATGCTTTGAAAGCTTTGCTTATTTAAATTCTTTCTTAATATGAATATGATTTTCTTTTATACAAAAAATAAATTGCATCCCAGTTCATTTACCTTGTATCTCCTTGCTTCGTATGATGTGCACGACACAAAAAATGCATGCACGATTTTATAAGGACTTATTCCTTTCGCGGCCTTAAAATTGTTTAAATGTATACAACCACTGTCATTCATTATTTCGCTTGGAAGTCGTAGCACCGGTAATGCAAAACTACGCCTATTTTAAACTGGGCTAAAATAAAAATAAACAAATTCCATAACACTTAGTACTTTCTGGTGTAAACAGTTAATATTCTACGGATTATAATTATACCCCAAAAACCATACAAAGACACGAGCTGTTCTGTTTTTCGCCATAAAAATATGCACAGAAAAGAATGTTTTATGTTTATGAGGATGAGATGTACTTTCCCAGTATATATCTATACTCTTTGGATGTACTATCTCACCTCACACACGATTCACTTTGTTCTACTCAGCTACTGTGTAATGTCGCTTGCGACTTGTGAGCTCGTCTCGTCTCTACAGCTCTACAAGTACGAGTCTGAGCACTGAGTGAGTGACTGACCGTCGCCTGAGAGGGCTTGAAAAGCAATCTATCAGATGACAGATTCATTGAAATAAAGCTATAAATGTATAGGTTACACACATGAAGTTCGAATAAATGAAAGAGAACTTCTCACTCTATTAGAGTAGCATTTCTCTTTCTAAATTGTAAATTCAATAAATTAAAAATATTTAAAAGATGGTAATTAACGTTACTTTGTCTTTTGTTTTTTTTTTAATTATTTAATATATTTTCTTGTCTATAAAAATACCTGATAAAAAGAAATTAATAGATTAACTGTTTAAGGCTAGGCTTACACTACGAATTTTTAGTTGCATAGCGAAATAGGTAACTAATACCAAATAATTTTTAAACAGCTTTTCAATTGTATTTCACGCAGTTAAGATTTAAGTTGTCGCAGCATCAAAAGTAATAAGTTTAAATCGTTTGTGGCAGTTGATCGTCCTTACTTATCGGCATTCTATATTTTTTACTTTATAATAACAACTATTAGTACGTCTACGCACAGTAGACCTCGCAATTACAAACTTTTTTGCGACGACAAAAAAAAGCTTTAAAGTCATAAAACCTAGTCTTGTCCAGATCGGTTGTAAAATATAACCTATAGAGGAGTACTAACAAACTGATTCTTCACTCGCCTTGTTCGCTCGGTCAATTATTAATATTTTTTGTTATATTTTTACAAGCAACGGACGTCACATTGAGCGATATTATTGATGATCTGGTTTTATTGGTTGATATGGAGAAGTTGAAATTAGTTGATAAGACATAGCTTTAGAAGAATACGGAGACAATGGCAAGAATATTTAATTTGATACAAAATCCAATTTAAAACTTATGACAAACACGAACAACGCGAAAAGACACTTCTTATATTTTCTGCTACTGTGTTGGTTGGTCATGCCAAAGCAGTATTTTCAAAGTGCTTGATTGTACAGAGCGTTGCTGTAGCTCAAAAAAATCGAAGCTGAGTATTATGCTGCATATTGCGCTTTAGTGCAGTAATTGGAAAACCGGGTTATTTTCCACATAGCCCAAAACTCGGCAGTCCGCGCCTAGCTTAACAATAGATGAAGTCAAATGTTGCTGTCAATGTTAGAAAAAAATATTTCAGTCGAATATTAGTGATGAGTGTAGCCAACCTTATAAAATTTGTAGACTGGTAGTGTGGTGGTAGTTCGTATATGGTAAAAATAGTGATTAAATTATTACAGTAAAAATAGTGATTAAATAACAAAATAAAATACATGTTTCTTCTTCCTTAGTTAATGTTTCTTTTCCTTACGCCAGATAGATATAGAGAGATAATATATTTATTAAAAGCATTAGAGGCAATAATTGTAAAATAGACTGTAAAGTTTTAGTCTTGCTAGATGCCATCTATTGAGTAAAGTCAAAATTACCGCAATTCTATTTCTAAACCTTTTTGCATATTATTTAGGTTATATAATCAATTTCATAATAAAATTAATATAGTAAAACACCCTAACTTAATTGATTATATTATATATAATCAAAATTAGAAAATAATAAACTATATATTCTGTAAAATTTATTTCTAAACGTTCGGGTACGCGCTGCTAGCTCATATCTGCTTTGACTGATGATGTCTGACGACTGACGAGTAGTAAATAAATATGGCCGCCAGTCAATTTTAACGATGTAAACTTTTGTTTACTGTTTTTTAGTCAATATAAGAAATGATAAGTGAATTTGAAAATTTGTCTCTTGGAGGAAGTAACACTGCAAGCAATCATGCAGATCCTTTTAATCATACGGGTAACCAAGCATCTATTTAGTGAATTTATTGCTTCTTGACCTCAATGTATCACTGATCACTCTGCTAGGCAGGGCAACTTCGAGAGCCAGTCTGTACAATAATTGTTTGAACAGTACGTACTGTTTCTTTCAGAGTTGACACCTGAGCAGCAAAAAACTTTAATTGACATACGCCGCCGGAAAACAGAATTACTTTTGGAAATACAGGTTAGTTTAAAAGAACAATTGTTGTTATCAAAGTACAATAACAAATCTCAATATATAAATGTATTTTTTGTGTTAAGTTTGGTAATGTAAACTAATATTTTAAGTTATATATATCCATAAGTATTAATAATTGCATTGTACATTTGTATATGTATTGAGAACACATTTCCTTTCTCATTTCCTATTTATTAAACAATATTATTGCTTTCTATTTAACAAAGGCCATCTATTTTAAAGCTTAAGTCAATTAAAATTTAATAGTAAAAAAAATAATGTTATTAACACTGTTATGTTAGGTATATTATCTATTTGTATGGTGGATTTCTCACAAGTTATGTTGGCTTTCTTGTCACTAGCAATAGGGCTTTCTCATAGACGAGTGAGTGATGCAATTGGTTGCTGTACTGACAATTTAATTATTAAATATAGCTAGTTTGAAAATTATATCTTTATATATATAATTCTTCTGTGAGTGTGTATGTCACTGAACTTCTCTCAAACGACTGGACCGATTTTGATAAAAAAATTTGTGTGTGTTCAAGGGGATCTGGGAATGGTTTAGATTCACAATTTGAATAATAATTTTCATCAAAAAAATTATTAAAAAAAGTTTGAAATTTTCAAATTAAAGACGTGTAGACAGGACAACGTCTGTCGGGTCCGCTAGTGTTTATTATAAATTAGTGACTCACACTCACTTTGCTTCGGGTTTGTCCTTAGACAAAATCAGATATAAATTTTTTCTGAATATAAAGTAACCTAATGTGCTATTCCGACTATAATCTTTCTCTGTGCCAAACATCCAGGTCCAATCAGCCTTTTAGCCGTTCTGGCAAAGGGTAACATCCATCCATCCTCACAAACTTTCATATTTATAAGATTAGTATGAATTTGGATATGGAAAGGGTGGATTGATATATAATATGCATTATTTAATTTTTCAATCTAGTTTTAAACTATCTCTTATTCTTTACTATATTAGTAATAAGAAATAATATTAAAATAATATGTACTAAAATATTATAAAGGTTACGTTTTTAAGTTTGGATATAAAGGCTAATTTTTGAAACTACTGATCCAATACTGAATATTCTATCACTAATTGGCATCTACATTACAGCTTAGTACTAATATTTTAGTTTTTATACAAGGTTCAACTGTCAGAAATGATAGTAACTTAAAATGGAGTGGGAAATAAATGAGTCATTGAGTCACTTTATTGACCTGTGCTGTGTAAATAACTAAATAAAGCAGTTTAATGTTATTCAGAAAGGTAGCTGAGAGAAGTAATGGTATGGTGTTAGTATGGAATGAAACAGTTATAGGACAAAAATTATAGTTTTTAATAGAAGCTTTTACTGTTGTCATGTCATTTTTGGCTCAACTTAATGAATAAAAATAAATTTTAACATTGTTGATTAACTAAAGAATAAGCCAAACAGTGAAATAACACTTTAGTTTTTAATTTTGTATAATATCATAGAGAGACATATTTTAAAAGCAAAGATTTTGTTTCCGTTTTGTTGATTAAATACTTATATCATACATACATACATATATCAGAATTTAAATTAGAGACCATTTAAATGTCCAGCTATAATGCTAGAAATAGCTAATTGTTAATTGCCAACTAAATTAGTGTCACAAATATTAAAAAAATCCCATGGAATTTACATATTTAGTTCCTTGGCAAAATTGAAATTTTGTAGCTCATTATAATAAGTATTGTACATAATCATAAACGATGGCGGCCAGTAGTCAATAACCCCGCGTGCCCTTGAAAGGGACAAAAAGTCCTTTACGGATATTCGTAAACCAATAGATTCCCTCGGCCCTTTCATTCAAAACACTGCAGAGCGCACTGACGTAAGCCGTCAATGCTCAGTTTACTACGACCGAAAGAGAGGTATGTAGTTTAGCCAGTAACTGCCGGACCGCGATGTGGTTATGTCGTGTGCGGGTTCAGTGTCGTTTATAGAGTAACAAGAAATCGCGGTTTTTTTGCTAGTTATATAAAAACCGTATAAAATTACGTGAAGTGACCTTTCCGATATAGTATTACGTTTTTGCATAGTATATAGTGTCTTATTTATTATAAAATTTTTCAGTGATAAGGCTGATAAGTGGAAATTGCTATGACAACCTCGTCGTCATTTGTCTTTAGTTGTGTTGGTCAATTTTACAATAATTGTATTTTAAAGAAGACTGCCAAAACGTGGAGTTATCGATATTTGTTTTCAATGATGATTCATGTGCACGATTTTTTTTAAATTGCTAATTTCTTTTAAATATAACTTATATTGTTAGGTGTCCCTTTCTCAATAATATGTATAGTATTGCTGTCGTATTTTAATGCATTTATATTTTGGCATTAAATTTATTCCACTATGTTGCTTTGAAATAAGTTAGCCTTCATGCTTTACTGTAACTAATCTAGTGTTAGTATTAGTATTATCCATAAAACAAATATTTGGTCTAGACCTGGACTAGTGACTGTTGTTTATGATGCACGTTATGGGGGGTAATAATTTCTTTAAGAAATTTAATAATTAAATTTAACTTTAAATTAATTGTAAAATATGGTGATTTCTATTTTATTTATATTATAACAGTTTTTACTGTACGTGACTCAAATTTGATTTTTCTTTTATATGTAATATTAGACCGTATTTGTAATAATACATTGCCAATTACTTATTGAAATATAATTCGCGGAAATATAATTATAATAGCCATTTGCGTTCTCAACTTCTCAAGCATGAGCCATGAGTCATTAGACTTGTCGGTACATCATTCATTACAATGTTGACATTATGTCAATGCCCTTATCTTGTCTAAAGTCCATTAGAATTTAATTTTTATTAAAATAAAAATGCCCTCATATGTGATGAATGAATGAATGATTTTGTAGGTACATATTTAAATTATAGAGTAGTGACTATAGCTGTATAAATATTCTCTATAATTTTATTGAATCGTTTAATTACTCCGGGTTGAATATCTTGCCGTACATAACACAAATATATTAAAAAAAAACTAAATGACTAAATTAGAATTTATGACTATAAGGATTTGCAGTTTTGATAATATGTGTATGTTCCCTTTAAGTGGACAATGGACGCGATTCATCGTTGTTATCAAGTTTCCTCTGCTCACTTCCGGCCTGAAGCTGGCAGCATTGATAGTGACCACATACAAACATAATTTATAAAAAAAAAGTAAAATTATAATCAATTTTTTCCGTAGATTTGTATAATAAGACTATTTTTATCATCATTCATAATTATAATATTAAATTTGAAACAGACTTTAAAGTGCATTACTAACTACATAAAGTTTGCCATTACTTATGTACCATTATGTAGTAGCATACATCCAATTACAATTTTGCTATCTGCCTCTTTTCTAAAACTGTTATAAGCGTGCCTATATTTTATATCTATAGAGTACGATAACGTAAATAAACAATATAAAAACTACACCTAATGATAAACGTCAATCTAAAAAAACGATTGTCGTAGACGTCGCGAAAGATAATCTACTACGTATAGTTGTCACGGTGCCAAACTCTGTAGCGCCCGCGCCTCTCTTCAGTCGAGTGCGTTCCTTAGAGGGAAGTGTATGGCGCGCGATGTGTTTGCATGTTCGGCTGCTGTGCGGCGCGCTCTGCTGGCCGGTGCTGATGCGCTGCGCCCGCGCCGCCCGCACCTACGACGACGATTATGATCAGGTGTGTCTACTGTCACAGACCTAGCTTGTTATGCACTGTGAAACTTATATCGTATAGCTTCACTTGTATTTTGGTAAAGATGACGCAGATGTCGACGAGCCTTATCTTCGATGTATAGTCATACACTTTTCACTTATTTTGCTTTGTTTACGCAAGTTTATTTATTTGATAGTGCTTGTAGGTTTGAGTGATTCAGCTTCGCTAGTATCGGTTTGTTATCGAGGGTGAGACCCACTTTCTGTGATATTGTGATGTGCGTGGTGCGTTAGCGCTCCTCAAGTTATGTTTATCAAGGCCGTGCCCGTGGCCGCCGAAGAGGAGCGTCGTGGATCAGTGTCAAATTGGTTTTCGTCTTTGAGACGTGGTGGCCGGCGTAAACGAGAAGATAACGGAGTTCCGGCAGGTTATGGATCGTTAGGCAGGAGGAAGGACGGTGGGCAGTCGCGCGGCAAGACACGATCGGCCTGGGATCTTACCACCGCCACTAGACTGGTCTGTATAATTAACAATTTCACTATCTGTTAGTGAAAGGCATTTTGAATGCACACACCACTGGAGACTACAATTTTGGCATTAATCCAAATGCGCCGGATCGATCTCGCTTTTGAGTCTGCGTGTGAAACGATTGCTATTCAACTTCGGAGACTTTTAATGTTATTACTACCTCCGTTATTCTCATACAAAGTTTTAAATTACTTAACTGTTTAACTTTTTCATGCTTACCTATTATGCTTAATTGAAATTTTATTAAAACAATGAAGACATGCGGGTGTGAAAAATATGTATTCTATTTCATATATAAATGTGAAGGTATATTCGATTTCTTTGAATAATATTATCAAAATATGTAGTTAGGGAAAATCGTAATAGTGTTATTTTTAAATTATGATTTTTAGCTATTTTTTATGATATTGAAATTAGGTATATAGTTATTCTTAATTTTTAAATGTAAACTAGCGGACCCGACAGACGTTGTCCTGTCTACACGTCTTTAATTTGAAAATTTCAAACTTTTTTTAATAACTTTTTTGATGAAAATTATTATTCAAATTGTGAATCTAAACCATTCCCAGATCCCCTTGAACACACGCAAAAAATTTCATCAAAATCGGTCCAGTCGTTTGAGAGAAGTTCAGTGACATACACACTCACAGAAGAATTATATATATAAAGATATGTTGTTATTTATTTTATCAATAGCCATGAAAATGTTAAAACGTGGCTAGCTAGCACGATAATATTTTGTACTAACGACTCACCCTGGCTTCACTCGGGTTTGTGCCTAGGTACCTACATTTTAACGGTTAGTAGGGAATAGATAGACTATGTATATATTAGTTTATATGTACATAGGTATGATGAGTTTTATATTCCTTACTCCAGAAACCGATTTGGTTCAGCGGATTTTTATTTTATCCAACAAACAAACTCACAAACTTACAAACTTTACCTCGTTATAATATTAGTGTAGGTTTATCCATCTATGCGGACGAAGCCGTGGATAAAGGCTGGTATGATAGTCAAAATTGATAATTTGACTATGTTGACAAAATTGAAAGTTGATAATTTTTAAGATTAAATTCTTCTTTCTGTTCATACAGAACATACTTATTTAGTAAAAAAAATATTATACTTAATTAAACTAATGTTCTAATTCCTGCTTAAAATTAATTTCTTATTCTAGGCAACGCAAATTTAGCATTAGTTTGAACTCGAATGTGATTATATACATGTATTAAATTTATTTAAAATACGTAGGTGATATCACAGTTCTTTATATTTATATGCAAATCACGAGCATTGCCGCTTCACATGTGTAGTAAACATTAGCAATAGCGCACTAGTTAAGAGTTGTAAATAAGGAGCGAAAAAATTATAAAGACACCTCCAGATAAATTTCTAAGATCTTAATTAAAATTCTAATAAATCTATTGTTAACTGACACGCCGGCGTGTCCGTGGTCGTGGAGGGATTAAGTCTTTAAGAGAATTAAACCACGCATGCAATGTAAGTAGGTAAGTAATGTATAGTAGGTAAATATGTACATCAAGTATGTTTTCAGTAATGTGAAGCTAGAGCAATATTTACAAGACCTAAATAACAATGAGCAAGACGCCGTCATACATATATTATACCTACTTAGGCGACAATGTAGCATATGAACTCGCGTCTTCTTATATAGTTATCGAGAATTATCACATTTATTTCAAAGAAGTGTAACGTTATAAAAATATTGCATTCACAATTTAGTTTTCAAGCTACGAATTCCAATATAAACTGCCCAAAGGGGACTCCTAGGAGCCATTGAAAATATGAATTGAATTGAAAAATTACTTTTATTTAATCTCTGGCCACATTTACGCTTACATAGTATCACAATAACATTGCTACATTTACAGTTGCGTCGGTACTGTCTTAAAACTTTAGGACTCGATGAAATATTTTTATATATCACATTTTTACCACGACATCGGCATGCACTAGTTGTTTAAAGAGGGTTGTATGGTTTTGTTTTCTGTTAGCGACGGCGCCGCTTGTACGAAAGTATCCGCATTGATTGCGGTCGCCGATCGTGACTCACGTCATTTGTTTTCAAAAGCAGACTAGGTGTGTGCTGGGCGGTATACGTTGCATACTAGATTGAAATAACAAGAATTGTAATATAAAGAAGTCAAATGTAATTGTTCTATATAGGATCTTACTATTATAATGATTGTAAATGCAAAAGTTGTATGGGTGTTCGTCACTCAATCACGCCAGAACGGCTGAACGGATCTGGATGAAATTTGGTACAGAAGTACATTATAGTCTGGAATAATTCTTACAAAAAAAAAGAAAATGTACGGTTCCCGTGGGATAGATTTGTTTTTGTTTTTAACAGAGCCGGTTGAGATAATCGGTCGCTTTCCTATCTTTAAAACACACCTAGGGACGAACCCGATCATAACGAGGGTAAGTCGCTAGTTAACAGTAAATTCAATAGATTTTTGCGTTTTCTTAAGTTCTAATTACCTGCTAAGGATGAAAACATTGAGTATTGTAGTAGAACAATTCCTATAGTTTTGAAAAGTTTTATCGCAATTAAATATAAAAATCTGAAAGTGGATCATATCTTTTTTTCTGTTAGCTAGAATTAAAATTCTACTGACGTAAACGTCCGTTAAATAAATGCCGTATCAATTTATAACCAAAACAACTTATTCATTCATTCTGGGTTTTCCACTTGTGTCACTCAGAATTCGGAAATTTTGAGATTACAGTAAACAATGTTATGTACATATATAGCTAAATGAGATATAATAAGTGTAAAGAACGAAATCAATATCTCGCTAATGAAAAACCTTTTGAATAAAAGGATCGTTCATGTACGGCTGAATATGTCATTTCCCTTTGTGTTGGTTTGCTTTGAATTTGCTTCAAAAATTCATACGTGGTCTAGTTTATTCCATCCGTGAACGAGGATGTTGTCACAGAAAGTGACTTTTTTCATTTGGAAATGAGGAGCAGATTTGTAGCACAAACATTCTTTACTTGCTTTTATACAGATCTTTAAAAATGAAGATCTCAGGATTTTCGTGATCCACATGTCTGAATATAATTTTTTTTGTTATTTTTTTTTAATATTCGGAATATTTAATTTAACATAGCTGGTTGGTATTAATTGTCGTATTCTCAAACATATGTATATTATGTATACTAAAATATGTGATATAACGGTATTCACACATTGTATGGGTTAGTTATACCTACTTCCTTTACGTCTCTAGTTATTAACTATTTTTTTTTTATATAAATGGCGACCTTGTTTAAGAAATAAGCAATTAATGGAATTCGGTATCCGCATTGCAATTGGCAAGTGAAAAATTCTAGGTTGTTAGTGTTGATAGAAAGTGTTGTTTTAAATATGTCAAATGAATATAGTTACTGAGATTTGACCTTAGTTCACTCACTATAGTGTTAATCTATATTCTATATTAATATTATAAAGAGGCAGAGTTTGTTTGTGTTTTTTTTTTGTTTGAATGCGTTAATTTCAGCAACTGCTAAGCCAATTTGAAAAATTATTTTTGCATTAGATAGCCCGTTTTTGAACGAATGGCTATAGGCTATTTATCATGCTACTACCCAAGGGAGCGAAGCAGTATTCTTACTTTACTATAATAGTAATCTATTCCATACTCACCGTTAAAACGTACCTAGGGACGAACACGAGCGAAGCGAGGGTCAGCCGCTAGTCAGAAAGACATTAACAGTTTAGTGACAAGGTTGGTGCGCTTATCGCTGCTATGCAAATTGCAAATGTTCTTGCTCTCTGGTGCTCTATATTTAGGTTTGTATCCTAAATGCAGTTTATGTAAATTTACGATTATGATTTAAACATAAATAAGTTTCGGTTTTAACGTTCGAATCTATTTTAAGAATCATTCTATTTAAATCTTATCATAATGTTGATACCTACGGCACTTTTAAAATAGTGAGGTTATCTTTATTTGTGTTTTGCTTAGTATCTTTCATTTAGATTGACTTGTGTTTACGTGTTAGGATTTTCGCCAATATTATTAGCGTACTTTGCCAAATTTTCTTCTGGGGAAAGTGGGCTTAGAGCCAAGTGTCATTTGTCCGTTTGCCGAATTAATACTATAAGGCGTAAACGATCTATGTTTTTATACTAATCATTCAGTATTACTGATGCACTGAAAAGGTTAATTAAATTAATTATGTTCAAATCAAATAAATCATATATATAAAAGCGGAATTGTGAATGCACTCCTGGTTGACTGCTCGCGAGCGGGGAGGTGCTTTGACCTTGCCGGGGAACGGGGGATTTGCGAACGTACTGCACGGTCACCGACTTGCCAAACGAGTTAGCTTGCATTGCTACATAATGAGCCATACTAGACTTAGATAGTTTTGATATTGTATTTGGCTTTCTATCAATAAATTAATATTACACTGTATATAACTATGTTAAAGTCTCAATATTATACTTTTTTTTGCATAGTGGACAATTACAAAGAAATATCACCGTCACACCTTTCACCAATGGTGTCTTTCATTTTATTTAAAGGCTACGATAACTGTTTCTTTTTGTTATATTAGATACTAGCGACTCACCCTCGCTTCGCTCGGGTTCGTCCCTAGCTTGCTTCCCCATACAAACTTTCACCCCCTTAAGGGATAATTACCGGGATAAAAAGTATCCTATGTCCTTCCCAGGGTCTCAAACTATTTTCTTACCAAATTTCATCTAAATCGGTTTAGTAGATCTAGAGATTACCCCCTACAACGTCACAAGCTCACAATTCACAAACTCATAAACTTTACCTCTTTACAATATTAGTATAGATAGATTGACGTTTTATACCTATATGAAAAAAAAAACCATCTTATAGAAATATCACTCAATAGGTTACGACGCGGTCGCGGTTCTATACCTACGTGTATGTCGTATTATCTCTTTAACCATTTGTCCAAATTATATGCAGTAAAAGGGAAAAGTTTTTTTGTTTTAAACATTTTAG